TTATTGGAAATTAACGGATTTTCCGATATAAAACCGGCTAATATATTATTTAGCTTTGGATTCCTAAAATCGTTATATACGTTAAAAGATAAAAATAACGAAAAACCGGCTTTAAAGGAATTTATCCACTTATATTAGCATTTATTAGGTAGATTAATATATGCTATAGTCTAAACCAGGCCCGACCTAGCTTACCTTGTAGTATATTTAGCCAGATATATGCAGAACCTATCGAAAACCACGATAAAAGGGGTAAAAGGGGTATTTAATTATTTAAAATCCTATTATTATTTTGGAATTACTTTTAACGGGAAAATAAAACCCGGATTAATAGGTTATTCCGATGCCGATTTTGCTGGTGATTACGAAACCCGTAAATTAACGTCCGGTTATTTATTTATTTTAAATAACGGGCCGATAAGTTGGAAATCGAAACGGCAATTTACGATTTTTTTATTAATTACCGAAGCTGAATTTAACGGGCTGGAGCAGGCTACCCGTGAAGTAATATGGTTGAAAAATCTTTTTACGGAAATCGGAATTAATATAAATACCGTATTAATTAAAGGAGATAATACGGGGGCTATAAATTTGGTATATAATCCGGAATATCACTAACGTATTAAATATACGGCTATACGGTATTTTTACGTACGGCAAGAGGTTGAAAATAAGAATATTCGAATCGAATATATTTTAATTAATAATATATTAGTAAACGGCCTTATAAAGCCACTTCTTAAAGATAAATTTTAGAAATTTATTAAATTGTTAAATTTAACCGATATTGTTTAATAGGGGGAGTATTGCACGGATGTTAATATAGCATCGTATAATGCATAAAATTAGCTTTATAACGTATATTATATCGTTATAATAGCTATAAAACCTATCGAGATATCGTTAAATAACGATATATAGGAAATTAGTGGAACTTACCCTGTACTAACTTATAGTTAGTATAGCACCACTTATAGCTATTATTTATAGTGCTGTATAGTTAATAAGTTATTATAGTTGACTGTTGTGGCCATTATAGCCATTGGAACCCATTGGAATCCAGTGGAACGTTCCACTGGATCAAGCCCCACTAAGTGTGGCCAGTGCACCTGGCCACAGTGGTCCCAGGGTTATAGGGTAACCCATATTATAAAAATCTATAAATTTCGATGGTTTCTTCGATTATAAATTAACCTTATTATTAATTAACTTGATTTATAATCCAGTTATTAGTAATATATTCCAGAATGTTCTTTACGGTTGATTTTATAGGTATAAAAGGTAGTTATTCCTCCGTAGTTAATTATTCTTTCCTTAAGCTTTAATAAATCAGTTATACAGCCTTATAACTACTCTTACGGCCTGATTCTACGAATTATACGAACGCTTCCCTGTGCCTAAGTTTATGATCCACCAATTATACCTTAGAACATTTTCTATTAAATAACGTATAAAAAAAAATTAGAATTATAACGGTTTATTAATAAAATATTAAATAATAGTTAATACATTATATATTGCTATATAAACTAATTTTTGCAAAAGCAAAAATCTAATGCGATTATGCTGCGCTAATTATATTTAGCTATGGCGTTAGCGCTATAATAGCGGTACGGCACCGCTGCGCAATGCCTATATAGGAGGTTGTTATAATATAAACCGGTTATATAATAATAACAGCCGGTAACGTAATCCGGGAGGGCATTATCGTTACACGTTTTTTATTAATATAAACCTTAATACCTTTTATATTTTAAGTTTATTTTAAAAACCCGTAATATAATCGTTATAAATAATTATAATAATTAATTATATAATATTATAAATAATAATTATAAATGGTGTTATATTAATTATAAATTAATATAAGGTAAATTTTATTAATTTCCCATATATCGTTATTTAACGATATTTCGATAAATTTTATAATTATTACAACGATATAATATGCGTTATAAAGCTAATTTTATATATTATACGATATTATATTAATATCCGTGCAATAATAAATAATTATTATATTATTTTATATTAAGCTTTTATAAATATATAAAAAATTTAATATTTTTATTATAATTACGCTTTCGCATATAACGTGCAATGCTGCTCGGGGGAATATACCGCGGTATACGAGCTTATCACACAGAAATCCCTAAGTACGGAAACGCATCCAATTTAGCTAGCATATTCTTTTAATCGACCTTTTTCACAATAGGTTATTGGCCTTTCCATTCACATTGCCCAATTTCACTCGTCGCAATCCGCCATGTCAAATCATTCGCTGGAAGATGGCCCCGAGTCACCACCTGCCCGGCCAGAGCCTCTTGGTTTAGCGTACGTCTATTATTCAGAAATTCCTGTCAGTCCTAATTGTTGCGATGCAGTTGCAATAGGTGTCGGCAATCCAAGCTGAAATGCAGCCGAGACCGCCCAGCATGCCAGCATTGTCGCAAGATTAGTAAGAGAGCCTGAAGACTGTTCTTGCATTTTGCAAATGACTTATCCTTCTTTTTGCAGCTGGTGATTGTGTATATGAGACAAAGCGCGTCAAGCCGGGACTCAAAGCTGGTGCTGTGGAGAGTTTGCATAGACGATTAGGTATATTATTCCCACATGTCTCGTTCTTTCATCATTTCATCATTTCATCATTTCATCATTTCATCATTTCATCATTTCATCATTTCATCATTTCATCATTTCATCATTTGACCCAAACAGATGCCCTCGAGCAACATATCAAACAGCGTGAAGAGCAGGAAGTTGAGATGCAAACAAGCATCTCGTCTGCAAACAACTGTGGCAACAATACAAGTGAGGGGGTCGCTTATGACATTGTGTCCTTACTAGCGAAGGAGCTCCCCAAATTATTCCAACGTGCTGCGAATGGTCGCTCACCTGAACATCCCGCTAAAAAGAGAAAGATCGCATGTGAGGATGAACCTCTGCTACTCGAGACACGTCAATGCACTCAGCCGAAAGTGCCCTCTGGTATAACTCTTCTTGAACCTGTCATTAGTGCGTATTTTGCCCAAGTCCACCACTGGATCCCCATGGTACACCAGGGCCGATTTCGTCGGCGACTCAAAGCACAGGAAGAGCGAGACAAGTTGGACTTGGTCATCCACGCCATGGCGCTGTCAACTGCCAGATACATTTCAAACGAGCATCCAGACAGCTTCCCTTGTCATGCTTCATCTGAGAGAGACTGGATCGTCTCTGAAGCAATGAGCCGCCCATCCGTGGAGAGTATGCAAGCATTAATCATTGTCGCGTTCAATGATGTAAGCAAATATGCCATTCTAAGCGTTTGCATCCTTAAAGCTAACAAGAGGCTGAACAGATTGGCAGTGGCAATGGGCAGAAAGCCTGGTCCATCGTGGGATCGCTGACCAGAACCATTGAGTATCTGCAGCTCACCATTGAGCAGGGCAGTAGTGAGGCCAGTGATAGCCAGTCGCTCTGTCGCCCATTTCAGTCTATCCGTCCCGTCAAAGACTGGACTGAGCTTGAAGAGAGACGTCGCGTCTTCTGGAATGTGCTGAGCCTTGATCGCTTCTGTTCAGTGACCATGGGCTGGAATACAAGCTTGACATCCAACGACGTCCATCGGCGACTTCCATGCGACGGTATCTATTGGCGCAAGGAGCAGCACGTCACGACACCATTCTTTGGTATTTGGGACAAGTCCTCTGGTCGGATCGGGAACCCAATCTCTTTCATGACGGCCAATCATCAAACCTCTGACAAGCCATCAGCTGATTTGGACACTCGGAGTCAGGCGGAATCGACGTCAACTTCAGGTGGTCCATCTGGCCAAGTCATGGACACGTCGACTATTGGAGCCTATGCATATTGTCTTGAGGCGAATGAGTCCATGAGCCACGTTACGAGTTACTTTCTTCAACAAAAGGTCAACATGCAGGATCCCGAAGAGATCAACATGTGGTTGACCCGGTTCAAAGAGCTGGACTTGCGTCTTGTTCACTGGAAAATGTTGCTTCCGTCAAAGTGGAAAGCCAACGTTACTCATGTGCAATCGCCCAGAATGGACCCAAACCTGACCCTCGCACACGTTACGCATAATGCGTCCATGATCATGCTTCACCAGCCGATAGCTTATCCATCCCCATTTTGGGGCTTCCGAAACAGGCTGCCCAGTAGTTGCAGTGCAGATACTTGCTACTCTGCCGGTGTCGAGATCGCCACAATTACCCAAAACTATCTTCGTATCGCCGAGGCTTCACCATTGGCCCCGCAGTACGCATTCTGCCTGTATATTGCCGCAAGAATGTTTCTTGTGCATTGGCGATATTATGTTGGGAATCCTCTTGGGGAGGAATTCTGGTTCTTGGTGCAAAGTCTGACGGAGCTGTCCCACCGCTGGAGCGGCATCGCGAGGTCATTGCAAACGAAGACGAATGACCTTGCAGGAAAATACGCCTTGAAGCTTCGAGAGATTCATCGATGGTGCGCCCAGGACGACTCGTATCGACTCAATCTCATGGACTACACCAGTGAAATAGACCATGGAACAGATCAGAGGTTTAATCCGATCCCACTTGATGACGATGATTTTGTTCCTCCATCAAATTCGCTTCCACAAGTTGGACAAACTGTCAACCAATGGATGGCTTATGGATCTGCTGTACCTCAACAGCCAGAGCCCAACCAGTTGAACGGAACACTCATACCTTTGAACAGCCACCCAGAGCCGTTGGCAACACCTCTCACGCCCAACTTTGCATCCATTGGTATGCAAGCAATTCCCGATGGTGCCGAAGGTCTCAGCTCTTCGGACGCGAATTCAATGCAGCACATCTTGCTGGACAGTCAATTCGTGAGTCTAGACCGTGTGATAACGTATGATAATGGATCTCTATTTGCAGCGGACATGGATGGAGGCAGTTGGTAATTGTCAGCTTGTCAGCTTCATATACTCGTGCAATTTATGTACTATAAAGATGCTTAATCTATTCAAATTTTCCTTGTCTTGCCCATGTTCAAATAAGACCTGCTCTGAGTAAATTATTACCAAACTCTACCAAGTAGTAATCACCATATACCAACGTGTGGTTAGCATAACGCTTCCGGGCGTTCGCGTTATTGTTTGCCGTACCATACTTGAGGATGCCCTCAAAAAACACTCCAGGCTCGACATTTTGGATCTGGACATGACCTGCCAATGAGCAAACAAGCATCGCCCTCTCTGGTGCCAGCGCAAATTCCAGGAGATCGCAAATGATATTCATCGCCAGCGCTCGAAATCGGCCAGCAAGCATATCTCTACCAAGTGCCGCTAGGGCTTGAGCAGCAATAAGCATCCCATTGGCGGCAATTGCACCTGCAGAGGAATCCCTCAATGGGTTCATCTGGTTTGTTGCATCATCGATTGGTGCATCAAAGTCCCATAGAGGAGTGTATCGTCCCTTGGTGATCCCAGGGGCTCCATGATTGGGTATCTCAACACATGGATCCGAGTTCTCGAGTCTGTGAACAAAGTATTCTGTACATCCACATGACGCATCAAGGAATTTCTCATCTTTGGTCCACATGTATGTCTGTGCATACCCGAGTATGGCCCAGGCCTGACCACGAGCCCAGGTGGAATCATCTGCGAATCCTTGGGCTGTCATGCGCTGCTTGATGGAGCCGCTTGCTGGATCAAGGTTTGCAACGTGAAAGGTTGAATACCACTGGCCCTGATAGACATCATCTCCTACCGATTCCGCTTTCTCTGGCCGCAAGTGGGTGCGAAGGATCGTATTCGCATGCTGTGTAGCAATTTCAGATAGCCCTCTGTCTGGTTCAGAATGAGCAGCAGCGTAGTATAGTAAATCCAGATTACACATGCTGTCGATAATAAGTATGAGATTGTCTTCCATGGAGGTTATCTCAACGTCTTTTTTTCGGATCAGATCCCAGCTTCTAATGGCCTTGGCTGGAGCCACGAATCTAGTCGCAAGGCTCCTTGCCGCACGTATTATGCTATCCAGAGACCGAGAGTCCCCGAGCAATTCCCAGTCCAATCGTAATGCCGGCATGATGATAAAGCCAATATCATGCGTGTCAGTTCGATTGGCCATGGAATGAAGTGGCTCGGCCCATGTTTTGCAAAGACGTAGAAGCTGCTCTCGAACATGTTTGACTCTGGGGCTTCCAGATGATGGGCCTTTGTCATTCAATCCCAACATCTGAGGGTACTTGATTGCCCGTTCAAGCATAGAGTAGAGAGATCCAGGAAAGAACCCGCATGTCCAGAATTCGGCCTCACGGAATTGGTATCTTCCCATGTCAGGTCCATTTTGAGGCACAACTTCTGGATACTTGTTCGGCAGGTGACTCTCAGCTTGTCTCGCGGTCCTCAATAGTTTTGCGAGAATATTTTGGTCGTATAGCTCTCCGATGTTATGGTCGACAGGTAAGATGGACGATGGAACTTTTGTATTGCACAGCAGGGGTTCAGACTGCACGCTGGTATCACTGGATGCAGGTTCGGCCTCCAGCAGAGGAGAGGTGGAAACTGAATTCATGTCTGAAGCCGACAAGGGCTTTGGCGATAAGCCTGGCTCGGGGTACTCCATAATGGACTTTGACAGAAATAGCTTTTGTCGCAGTCAAGGGCGAGTATATGACTTTCTCGAGAGAGTTAGATTGCCACCTGATTTTATTCTCCAAAAAGCATCCATGTACCAAGCCCAACTCCAAAGTCATTTCTAAAAGTCATTTCTAGGCATGTTTCGAGTCTACAGTATGAACAGGCGGGCGATCGCTTACGTGCTCGGTCAGTGGGCGCAAGACGGAGCAAGATGCCCGTGAGCGATTATGCTTGAATGTGTTCAGCTGATCCTGGCCAGAGAGGAGACATAGTATCTCGGAGCAAAGTGTTTCTTGGCCCGAGATCAATCGCCCGAGCATAGAGGTACCGTGTAACAATGTTTGTGCGAATGCCATACCCCGGATTGACCATGCATGCGCCGTGGGGAAGAATGAACCCCGCAAAGTGTCTCCCCTAGGGTCCTGCACCAACAGCACGGTGCAAGTTGATTTCAGAGGGTGGTCAGCGATATCGTGTCAATAGGTTCGAATTTAGGGATAAAAGCTCGAGGTGACCTTAATTTAATTCAACCGTGACAATGATTACATTGTTTAGCCAGTGACATTCATTGCTCCTGCGCGCAGAACGTCAAAATTCCTGCGCGACATAACATGATGGCAAGCTCAAGCATGAAAACCACCGCCGCGCCACCGTCTGAGCAGGCACAGAATTCATCCGAACAGACAAATGATGCAGTCCTAGCCTCAGAGTCTCGTCCAGTGATTAGATCACCAAAATACGCCTGGCTTTACATCTTTGATTGGTATCCCTCTCACTACTCTCCGGGGGAGAAGAAGTTGTTGAAAAAGCAGGACTACATCATTCTTCCGCTATGCTGCCTAATGTGTAAGATGACATTCATTTGTAATGTTGCAAATAGCGCTAATTGCTTCAAGTCTTTCTGAAATGGCTAGACTCTTCCAACATCAATACCGCCTATACGTCGGGTATGCGCGAAGAGCTTCACATTGTCGGAAATCAGTACTCTCTCTTTGGCACATTCTACAATCTCGGATACTTACTTTTTGAAATTCCATCCATGATGCTCATATCACGACCAAGATTGTCTCGCTGGTACCTTCCGACGATGGAGGTCTTGTGGTCCATGTTGACATTCATTCAGACCAATCTTGCCAGTGACAAGCAAATCTTTGGCCTACGATTCTTACTAGGAATTTTTGAGACTCCAGCAGCAACGGGTAGCATTTACATTCTCTCTTCATGGTATCGAGCAGATGAAATGTTCAAGCGTGCCGGCGTTTGGTATGTATCGAGCAACCTTGGCAGCATGGTTGGTGGCTACCTCCAGGCAGCCGCATATAAGAATTTGAATGGTGTCCTGGGCAGATCTGGTTGGAGATGGCTGTTTATTATTGACGGCTGCATCAGTATGCCAATTGCCATTGCTGGATACTTTCTATTCCCTGGATTGCCGACGAGCCCACGAATTTGGTGGCTTACTGAAGATGAACAAAAGCTGGCTCAAAGGCGTATGCGAGCCGACGGTGTCAAGAATCCCAAAAAGATTGGTATCAAGATGCTTAAAAGAGTATTCGGTCACTGGCACTTTTACGTTGCGGTCCTCACATATATCTGGTATGTGCATCTCTTTCTATGCGCAATTCATGCTCATACCCGACAGTTTTCAATGTACTTCATACGTAGGTGGTCAGATGAACATCTGGCTCAAGTATGAAGCGGACACGCATGGGACGTATACTATTCCACAAGTCAACATTTATCCGACAGGAGTCCAGGGAGTTGCAATCGTCACAGGGATTCTGGCCACTTCGTTTTGTATGGTGTATCCCCTCTGGGCGGTCATGACAGTTGTCGCCAGTTGCTTACTATTCTCAAATGTATGCCTCCTGATATGGGACATTCCTCTTGGTCTACATTTCACATGCTATTACCTCTTGGGCATGACTTCGTGCGTCACGCCAATCTTGTTTCCCTGGGTCAACATTGTCATGAAGGATGACAATGAAGCGCGCAGTTTCACCACGGGAGCCATGGTAAGCCAATAATTCTTGTTGTAACTCGTCGTTCATAATCAGCTGCTGACAGAAATAACCTTAGATGACTTTGGGCTGGGCTTTCTTCAGTTTTTATCCCATCACCGTCTTTCCCGTGTTGGAAGGCCCCAAATGGCGAAAGGGCTTCACGGTAAATGTCATACTCATCCTGACATTTTGGGCATTATTTATGCTTGGTCAAGTTCTGTGGAAACGAGATCAAAAGTCAAAGAAGTTCAGTGATCTAAGGGATGAAGAGGAAAGCACGGAAACAAAAGACGAAAAGGCCATGCATGTGGAGATTGTCAGGGAGGATTGAGTTGTTTGTGCCACCTTCATTATCATGAAAAACTCTTGAATAGCACGGCCTTTTGGTTTGCGGGGAGGTTCATACACTCAAGAAAAAAAAAACGTTCAAGTGACCCTTGAGACAGTCAACCGCTCCGTACACAAGGAGTTTCACTCGCTATAGTATTAGTCCGAAGTCCGAGTTGGAGCCATTTTCTGGTTTCCTTTCCACCTACCAAAAGTACAAATATTCCTTCGTTGTGCGTATGATCTTACCATTGGGCATACTAATTGCCTTGACATCCTTCACATCTATTACAACGCGCGTTTTGGTGATGATGCCTCCTCTTGCTGGCTTCTCGGATAACCCGTTTCAAACCCATTCAGATCTGATCACAGCTGCGGTTGCCCTCATTAAACCTCTGGAGGTATACAAGTCGAATGGTAAAGCTCGTATCAAAATTGCCAGCTCGAGCGGCGCAGGATTCAGCGAGACAGCCGCCCAAGTTGAAGGCTTTTCCAGACCACTATGGGTAGTTGCCCATCTCCTTGAACTGGAATCAAAAGGATGTGTGCCAAATCTTGCCCAAACGGGAGTAAATCTGCAATCATGGGTTCTTGGCCTCAAATCCGGAACCGACCCTTCGTCGAATGAATACTTTGGAGATCTCGGTGATTTCGACCAGAGAATGGTGGAAATGGAAGCAATCGCACTGTCAATCCTGATTTCGCCTTCAAACTTTGCCTTTCGGAACGACGCCTTTGCTAGGTCCAATTTAGTCAAATGGCTGTCGCAAATCAATAGAAGAAAACTTCCCGTCAACAACTGGCGCTGGTTTCGAGTTTTTGTCAACTTGGCCCTTTACAAGGAGCTCCAAGTCCCGCGAGGTCAAGTGCAACGCCATCTTGATGAGGACTTGGCAATTCTTGACTCTTTCTATCTGCAAGATGGATGGTCTAGTGATGGCACATGGGGAGAAGAGAGAAAGCAGGCAGACTATTACTCTGGAAGTTTTGCAATTCAATTTGCACAGTTGCTCTTTGTCAAGTATGCTACCGAGTTTGATGCAAGCCGGGCAGATCGATATAAGCAACAGGCCAAGGAATTCGCAACTCATTACTGGAGGTTTTTTGACACCAATGGTAAGTCAGTTGAATGTATGAATTGATTAAAAGCACAGCACTGATTTAAGACGACATTACAGGCGCTGCAATCCCATTTGGGCGGAGCTTGACTTATAGGTTTGCTTTTGCAGCGTTCTGGTCGGCTCTCAGTCTGGCAGAGGTTGAACTTCTCGCCCAATTGAATAATGTGGGAGTAGTGAAAGGACTATTGCTGCGGCATCTGCGATGGTGGGCAAAGCAGCCTCACATTTTCAATACCGACGGAACATTGAACATCGGCTACACGTACGCGAATCTGTTCATGTCAGAGGACTACAACTCTCCTCAGTCGGTATACTGGTGTCTGAAGAGTTTCATCGCCGCCGCCATCCACCCGGACTCTTTGTTTTGGACGTCTGAGGAGGCACCACATCCGGCAGCTTCGGGTATCCCGACAAAGATGCAACTCATCTGGCCAGCAAAGCAGATAGTATGCAACACCCCTGAACATCATTTTCTGCTTTCCTCTGGGCAGTCCACGAGAAAGAATCATCGTTCCCGGGAGGCAAAATACTCCAAATTTGCTTATTCCTCGGCGTTCGCATTCAGTGTCCCCTGCGGCGTCTCTCTTGAGCAGCTAGCACCTGATAGTGTGCTGAGCCTCAGCACCGACGGCGGAGAGACCTGGAAAGTTCGCTGGGAACCATTCAACGTTTCGCATGAATGCGTTTCGTTCCGTAATGAGCAGCTCCCGGTTTTAGTGAGTTCCTGGAAGCCATGGAACAATCTGAACATCATTGTCGAGACGAGATTGTTCTCGCCACACACAGCTTGGCCAGGTTGGAGTTTGCGCGTGCACACGCTGCGCTGGCTTGCAGAGAGATGCGTTCCGGATCAGCTTATCGCCCTCGACAGTGGTTTTGCCATCTCGTCCCAAACGCGCCTTGGGCACTCGATCTTTGAGCAGCCTTGCACTTCAGACTTTTCTTCATGCGCTACCAATGAAGGATGGTGGAAAGACGACATGAGCTGCTTGATTGTATCGGAAGCTGGCGCAAGCGGGACAGTGGATCTAACACCTGAATTTCTACCCCTGGGCCCTAACTGTACCCTGCACCCAGAGCGCCAGGCAAGGATAATCAAGCCAGATGCCAACACCAATCTCTCAGCACAACGAACTCTTTTGCCATCATCGCAACACCACTTCAGTGCGGCGCATTCGAATTCCCAAGATTCTGGGGGAAAGACGGTTCATCATATTGTGACTGGTGTTTTTGCTGCTCAAAGCTCCAAAGTACAATTGTCGAACGTATGGAGTTTGTGGCAGAATCGGCCATCTGGTAGCCTCGATCCGTCCTATGGAACTTTGACTCTCGGGGGTTAGCCTTTGTTGGAGCAAATACCACAGCAGTGCCAGGAGCGCATCCAAGAGTGCAAAAGCTTGAATCGTAGCAGAAATAGAAAAACATTACCATTTTGGCATACAGCCATTCTCAAAATTGTTCTCAACAAAACTACCAGGTAGGTATTTACATAGATTAACCTCACATCCTATAAATCTAGGCAGTACACGGATTTACACCCAGTAGTGTTCCAAGCTTCTATTGCGGCTTGCTAGCTTATTGGAGCGAGCTCCCCACGTAGTGCAAGTTCTCAATGGCAGCCAATCCATAAAGTGCAGCATCATTGGTAGCAAGCCAGCCAGCATCATCAATGGGAGCCAAAACAGAACTATTGGCAATATGAACAGTGGCCCATGGTGACGTTGACAAAAGCCCGTCTTTGTTGAACTCGCTCCAGGCACGCGCTGCAAGTGTCTCGTTCTGGGTTTTGGAAGCGAGGTATGCTGTGAGACGTGAATGCCCCTGATACAGGCTCAGACCGGAAAATTTGCTGCCATAACGAGCCGCTTGTTCAGCACTACTAGCTCCATAGTAGTAGCAGTATTCGAGATACGCGTCGAGAAATCCTTCCGGCAGGTCACCGTCGGTGTGATCATATAATTGAGTAATGATTTCTTGCAGACCAAAGACGGCATCGAGATGCGACAGTACGGCAATGCCGTTGTTTTCGGGGTCAGTGGGTGGTGGTGACCAGGAACCGTCGCTGGAATTGTACAGCGCTTCACCCGTGACGAACCCATACTTGAGCCCTACTATTCCTTCCATGCCCTTGTACAATTTGGCTTTGGCTTCTTCCCAACGGGGACCGTGTCGTTCCCACTCCATGAGCCATGCGCCCACAAGGCCGATCCAGTCGAGACCAATATTGATATACAGAGCCTCACGATCAGGGACATATGTCACATTGGCTGGTCGTACCTTTCTTCTAGCATCAACCAGGTAGAAAGCTTGCTCGGCATCCAGAACACCGTGAACTACGTCACCGATGCGTTCATCGCCCCCAGAGATGTAATAGAACGCCTTGCGATAGATTGTTGTCGAGATGCGGATCTGTTTTGCGCTGTCGCCCCAATGAAGAACACCATGTCGCGTACCTAGACCTGAGAAGTTGCCAATGTGATACATATCCACCTCGGAAGAGTGTCGTACTTGGGCCTCAGCAAACCGGAATACGTCTGAACGGCCAGTTCTCAAAAAGTATGCCCAGAAGAATAAATCGGGCGACAATTCTGAATTGTCCCATGCGTAGCCACCAACATCGTAGCGCCAAGTGTGTCGATCCGCGTCATATGTATGCATAATGTCTCCGTGGTCCCAGTACCCATACCATTTGCGTTGTTCGACTTGTCCTTGATAGTATTGTATGAGGAAATCCAGATGCTCTTCAATAGTCTCTGAAGCAGTAGAAGAGTTGTCCGGAGTGCTCCAGTACGTTCCAATGGCTTTGGTGTCCTTGAGGTAGTCGGGTTCGGCAACTAGCAGGGGAGGCTCATTCATGTAGGCCGCAAAGTCTGCCAGGGCATCGGAAGAGGGGGTAGAGTCAAAACCAAATAGAAATACTTCTGATGTCCTGGCAACTCCATACGGAGTGTCATATCCTCCCTCCCAGTCCTCGTAGGTGATATCCAAGGCGGCAAGTTGTTCAGTATAGGTATCCTCTCCCATGGAATCATGGAATGGGCGGAGGTCCATAGCAGGGCCTGCTGGACTGTACAACCACAGTGTGATTTGACCTACATCACTGGCAGCATTTCGAATGTCCAAACCAGTCGGGTAGCGTTTCCAGAAGTCGCGTAGGCCGATAGCTAAGCCGCCTCCAAGGGCACCACCAAGATATGCAAGCCCTTCAGAACGATTGCCACCTGGAATGTTGATCCAAGTGTACCCGGCCTTTGTGCGTTTTTTGAGAGTGAATCCATCAGGAGACAGTTGCGTCAGACTGTAGTCACTCCACGAGGGGATCCATTGTATTGCTGATGACACTCGTGTGTCCCAGGTAGTGATATTAGGGGTTTCCTCGCCCTGAATTTGCGCAGCACGAACCGCCTGTCCAGGGTCTCGTCGGAGACCAGTAATGCCCTGGACTGCTTCACTGAGGAACCCCCCATCAACCCCGGCCAAGCGAACGTGGCGGTTGTAGAGTTGGTCGGATAATGGAACATCAAAGCGTATTCCAATACCTGTGATGAAGTCTTTTTCTTGATCTCCGTCATATATTACCGTGTGGACAACTCTAATTGCTTCGGAATCCTGGTATAGATAGAATCGGAGAGTAAACTGTAGCCATGATTGATGCCCACCAGCCAAAGAATGGTGTCTGCCCTTGACAGTCACCAGGCTGCGCACGTCGTTTTCTTCGGTCACGGTAGTCTCCTCAATTTCGCTCTCAAAGGCCAACTTGTCCGGTTGACTTCCGGTTGAATCATCGTCCACAATCGAGGACTGGGATTGGAGTACGAGCAAGCCGTTCTGGCCAATAGTCTTGCCACTGGCGCTTTCGATAGAGCTAATCAAAACAGACCCTGACTTTTTGAAAGTGGCAGTAATCTTTCCTGTGTTGACCGCAATGTCGTCGTTGGACTCAGTGACTATCAGGCCAGTTGCTCTGCGCTTGGAGGTGGATTCCGTCAAGTTGGAGGCAGCACTGGACGGCTTCACGACATATTCTTCCGACACAGACTCTGATGCGCCAATCGCATGTCCAGTCCACTTGATGGATTCGTCGGGCCAGTATGCAGTGATCCATGACTGGAGTTGGACCTGATCGCCTTGTGCATCGGCTGCTGCAAAGGTGGTTGAGTTTGCAGAAAGTTTTCCACGAGGCCAAGGCAAGCCAAACGTGGTACCCAAGTTCACGCTTGGTGCTCCCTCAAGCCAACGAACTGACACCTCGTCAACAGTACCATTCAAGATACTTTGCGAAAAGGCCAGGCTCGCAAAGCCTGTGACTGCGACCAAATAGGAAACGGCACAATGCATTCTGCTGATTGAGTCGTCAAAAAGCGCCTACCAGTACCTCGATATATCTTACAAGTTACAACATGGCACAGTCCTCGAGTTTATGTAGTCAGTGATCGGCTATAGCCATATCTGATTCGGGCTTTCGAGATTCATTATGTGGAATATCTATGCAGGAGCTGTATCCGTCAATCCGTCAATCCAGTCAGACAGGGGTCAAACCGAGCTTGGGTTCTCGGTTCGCAGTAATTTCACCATTAGGTACAGCAGAAATCTACCAGTGTTGAAATCCCGGCCGACAATACTGCTTTTTTGACGTGACCTAATCTTGCGTCATGCTCCCTGTTGGCTAAGGGGGTCCCGGCAAAAAGGCAACCAAGAGGCCGGGCCACTATGTCGCGGTTGAAAGCGAGATACTCTGTATATCCACGAATTAGACATTCCCAGCCAGGCCTGTGTGCATGGGTGCTTCTGGATCCAGTCGTTACCCCCGGCTGGCATTCGGCCAAGCCTGCTCGGTGCATATTCATGGCAGCCCCCGCAAGCTACGCTTGCAATAGCAGCGCCATCGGCTGCAAAGCCATGGCGGATAGGTGTCGCGTCAACTTTGATGCTAGGCCAAGACGAGCACGGAGTAGTAATACACCGAGACAAAGTCCGATTCCACTGTCACGATTGAATAATTCCTCAGACTCTTTGCTACAATTCTGACTGTACCATTATCCTCCGGATGCCACCATTTGCCGCTAAACTGTCCACCAAGCACCAGGCTCAAATGTCGCTGCCAAGCTTTTTTTTGCAATAATACATGTGCAAGTGACATGAAGAAACTCAATGTTCGCAGAATGAATATGTGTTCTCCTGCCATCCACCTTGGTCTGTCTTGAGGAATGCAGTGCGAGCCTCCATTAGCTTTAGCCTGTGTTCCTTGGCTTCTTGTAACGTCATTGGTAGCGAGTCTCGAGCAGCGTTGAAATGATCGCGCACCATATTTCTCAATTCTGGCGGCAATGTTGTTTTCTCCTTTATGGAAACATCTGGAGCAAGGCCTTTTTCTTTCAAAAGTGTCAAGATTTCGGGGGGCATCTTTTTAGTTGAAACTTTCTGCGCTTCGATCGAATCTCCAAAGACAGAATCAATCCACCAGTCCGACTGTTGCGGAGGCACATTGGCTGTCGAGACTATGCGCCAAGTAGGGTCCACGAGCCACAGCGCAATGAAGCGGCGATGGCCAGCTTTGGTCGGATCCTCCAGCTGAAAAGGGGACACTCTGTGTTGACTAGCTACAAGTATCAGCCGCCTCCCTCAATATCAGCATCATGAATGGATAAAAAGACCTACAATACGTTCGGAAACGCGAGGATTCTTCCTTGATTCGTGTGAACGCTGCCATAGTTCTGAATACAAGGAGCGTTGGAAGGCCCCAACTCTGTTCCATAGACCTGCTCTAGCCAGTGATACTCATCCTGCCCAATATCAAGTTCTTCTTGCAGTTCATCCGATGTCCGCATACGGAATGCAAGACTGCTGGGTGAAATATTCTCGCTGTCTACATAGAACAGGGCCGTTGCGCAAATGCGCTCATTCATTTGTCCTTCGACCTAAATTGGTACAGAGTCAGAATTCATTATTCGGTATCCTTCAAGGACGTGAAACCCACGTGCCAACCTCCTGCTGGAAAATCAGGCTTCTCTGGCGTAAGCTCTATAGACGCCATTTTGACAATGACTTGGAGACCAGAGTCACGAAACCTCTGTGCAAGCCTGTCCTTTGATGCAATTGTATAGTTTATCTCTTTGTAGGAAGGCTCTGGATTGACTGGTTGTCGTAGATAAACCCATTTTTCAGCATCTTGGGGATGATATTCGCTTCCGTAAATCTCTGTCCAATCCATCCCCACGTCTGCAACTTCCCGAGGGTCAGAAGGGAACCAATGCTCGGCATTCCAGTCGCTATTATATGTTAGAGTTGTCCATTGGTGATATCAGGTCAAGGGAGGCGGGAAGACTGCGTACTTGGGATCATCTGGGTAAGGAAACCTTGAACTGCATCTTCCTGGCTGAACTGCTGCATTGCTATTTTTGTGAGTGGCAAGACACTGATCCCAAGCAGGAAGCGTTATATCGATGAGCTTCTCAATCGTGCGATAGATAGAGGAGTATTTTTCTGGATGAAGGTTATTGATGTAGCTGGTAAACTTGACGGAACCATCCCCTTGGAAAGCAAGGTTTGATGGCAGCCATTGGTACGTTTCGGACCAATACTGAGCTTCGTCTTCTGGAAGCGATGGAAATATGTCCCAATCTTCCTTGGGAATGATATCGCCCTTTCCAGCCCATGTCCCGATGGCATCGCTGACACCAACAACCTCGTCCTTTAGAACTCTACTGCGTCCATATACCAGGGGATACATGGATGGATGCAGTAGATCCTGTACCTTATCTTGTGATCCCGGATGCCAGTCGGGGTCTGCTGACTGTTCTCTCTTGAGAATGTCAAGAGCGTCGCGCAAGGCCGTATGAAGGGAAGAGGGAACTAGATTGTCTGCCTTTACAATGGACGCGCAGGCGTCGAGCGTGGGTACGATACCAGTCTTTTCAAAGTATCTAGCTTTACTTTGAAGTTCCTTGATACACTACGAACTGAATCAGTACATGCCACTGGCTGACATGCAAACTCTGTAACTCACACAATCAAAAGAATTTTGGTTCATGATATCCTTTAGCATTCGATACTCAGACTGAGGAGGTGCATCCAAAAGAGTAACCTCGTTTTTGTGATTCCACTTCTGATGCTTGGCAACCCTCGCTAGGGCCCTGAACTGCTCATCTGGAATTGCTAGAGCTTCTTCACGCCATTTGGATACAATCGTATCATCAAAGACCTTCTTGTGCCAATCTTCCTTATCCGAAAGTCGATCCATGATGCTCATCATGGCGAGTTCTCGGACAGGAAGTATATCAGACACGGTATTTTGGTAGCTAGCGAAAAGACCAATGGGATAATTGTCTTGCTCGTTGCCACAGTATTGAAGGGGGAGACCGAGTCCCGGATATTGCTTGGGCATGTTTGGCGGCGTTGCGGTGCGTCCCGTCTTTTGCAGTGACACAGTTGAGAATGATTTGTCGCAATTCCTTGGGTAATGACGATTCGTCGCAATTCCTCGGGTAATGACAAGACACGTGTCTAATCGTAGAAGAAGAATGCGATGGCACACAGCAGTCGTATTTATCCTCATCTTCCCATCTCATAATGACAACGAAAGGTCAATGTTAATCACATTTCCTCCCCTTGGTGGGGTATGTTGCCTGCTCTGCCTAACATTTGGCGGGGGCGGAATGGAGGGAATTCTAACATGGGTATTACCTAGGCAACCAGCGCTCTAAATTGGCCGTCTAGTGGTGGATTCACGAGACGGCACGTAAATGCCAAGAAAGGCTATTGGGTGACTTGCCCGTGGAGGGAAGCAATATAGGTCAATTCATATGGGCGTTGCTTATATTGATTTCTAGCGGAGATGTTGTCTAGTACGTACCTACTGTGCTGAGCATGGCCACTGGAGAGCTATCGTTTAGGTAGGTAGGTAGGTAGGTCGGTATTGTAAGAACTAGCGGCAGCTGATCAGCTTGCGGCCGCCGCCTCGCATTTCACTCGATAGGCAGACGGGGACGAAGGCATTTAATGACGAGCAATCAGGAAGCAAGGAGATTTTATCAATTTCATACTTTTTACTGACAGTGCGACCATGGTGGGCATATTGAAATTACCCAACAGAGGGCCTTACGATCCAATGTACGATGACCTAGAAGAACCAGAGGATGGAATGGTTCACAGCCAAATGCCGCCTGACGAAAAGTTTTACGAGGACCCCGACTTCTACGATACCTTGGGGCGCTCACTAGTCGAGCAGAGAAAGGTTTTTACTGTTGAAAGGTCGGCAGAAGAGCAGATAGACATGGTTCACGCTATTCTCGAACAATGTCCAACCGGTCCCAGCGGTGTCAGTCGCGCATGGAACGTTTGTCTGGAAGCAGCAATCAAGAATGCCGCAACGGTCATGGAATATCTGGTCAAAAACCAGAACCTGCACGTCAGGAATGCCCCCGAGCAGGCCTTGGATCTCAAGGTCGAAGTCCACATAGCGGCATCAATGGGAAACCTGGACGTGCTAAAGATCTTGATTGAGCGCGCTGGGGCTGACATTAATGTCATTAACAACCTCAGAACACCGCTATCTATTGCTGCCTTGAATGGAGAGATTGACACGGTCAAGTGGCTCATTGAGCACGGTGCCGACTGTACGGAAGACTCAGAGACACTGATTCTTTCTTCACATGGCGGCAAGGTCGAAATTTTGAATCTTCTGCTCGATCATGTGACGGAGAAAGAATCCGATAAACCCAAGACGGCATGGTTCGATAGACAAATGTTGGGCAATGCAGCATCATCTGGCTCAGAGGAGATGATGAGATTTGTCATGGAACTTGGAGGCTACGGGACCGCAACTGAGAACAGTGAAGAACAGCGCGAAGCTGCTCTAGAAGCTATCCCGCGCGCGTTCAAGAATGACAGGACGAATCAGGCCTGTGTCGATTTGGCCATCAGGAGCGCAATCCCAAAGAATGGGGCCGGCGATTTCATCCGCAGTGACAATGCTCTAGTCTTTGATTGCTTGAAGTCAGCCGTTTCCAATTGTTGTATCATAGCCAAGCCTGAGGACATGCGCCACATGCTTGAGTTGGTGCTGCAATGCACAAAAGTAACCAAGGATTCGGCACCATTCAGTCAACTACTCGTTAAGGCCATCCGTGGGTGCTACCATCCCAAGTCTCAAGCCTGCGCAAAAGAGCTGTTGGACCATTGGGGGGCTTCGGCCAACACAAATGATCCCAATGAGGATAATTGTCTCCCGCTCGCTCCGGCTGCCATCTCATTTGGGGAATTGGATTATGTCAGATTCTGGCTTGATCATGGTGCTGATATCCATCGAGCGACCGGCCCGTTTTCCAACGGCCCGACCGCGCTGTCATGGGCAGTGAGGCTGGGCAATGTGGAGGCAGTCCTCTTGCTTCTGGACCGCGGCGGTCCGATAGATTACATTGCTGGTGGGCTAGAGAGACAGAAGAGGCTTTGTGTTCGGTGTACGGGAGAATTGGGTGTAGTCTCTCTTTTGGCGGCGGAATCTGTCAAGAGCAAAGAGGACGACTGGGATGGAGAGGATGGAGCTGACGATGGGAGTGTTGCGGATGGAGTCAAGAGCATTGATAGTGGGACAAATGAGGATGATGATGAAGATGACGAGACAGACTACGCGCCTGGGGCAGACGAGGTGGTGATTGAGTTGGCACAAGTCACGCAGGCTTGGTTGGAAAAGATTCAACTGCGGCGTCCCGTGGCGGATTTAGCACAAGATGGAACCGGTCGACCGGTCAAAGAAACAAGCAATAGTGAATAGAATAGCGCCAGGGCGAGCAAGAGCCCAGTATTTCCGGAGACATCACCAACCATATCTACTGATTTCAGTTACAGCTCGATCGCAGCATCAATGGGTACTCGGGGGTGGGACCATGGGTAAAGGAGAGCCTTTATGAATTGAGTGCTGTCCACAGCGCGATGCACATGGTGGTTGGGTCTTGCTGTTTACAAATTTGACTAGCAGCCGTCTTCTTGCAGGTATGATGCCATTTCAGGGTAAATGACAGCGTTCCGAATTATAACTCCGTCCTTATTGAGATGAGTCCCAACCGAGGAAGAAGAAAAAACTCTTGGCAACAAATTTGACTAATGTGGCTTGTGTCATATTCGAGATATAATAGGTTCCAGGATACAGTGACCTCGAAATTCAGTGACATGTAGCCATTATGTTCATGTTGCTTATAGGGGTTTACCTAAAATTGGAGAGCGGACATGTTGCAAGCACATGAGTTTGAAGCCTCCGTTGGGGTTTAGATAGGTACGTACCTAGGCGGCACCAACTGTGTAGAGTCGGTCGGGTGGCTGCGACCTGCTCCAGGGCTGGAGCTAGGTAGGCTGGGGTCGGATTAAAAGGCTTCCGCTTCCGCATCACAGTGCGCCACACGAATCTTTTCCAATTGTGCCCATTCAATGTAGGGTCCGCCCAGTGCCCGGACACGGTAAGCGCCCAGGTGGCTGGGACCAGGCAGAATTCATTGGGCCCATTCGCTCCTCTTGCGCTTTGTGTTGAGGTTCTCACGACAACGCATCTGCCATCTTTGCACCGTCTTTGATTCATTTCGAATTAATGCTTTGCTCAAATCCCGCCATTCTGCGCAGATTCTGATCTCGCCGAGTACGGCATAACAACAGGGTCAGTCCCAAGGAATGTCGCGCGAAAGTGGACATCCGCGCCGCCCGCTGGACCATGACGACACGGCTTTTTGGCAAGACACCATCGGTCATCCTGCAATCAAGGCCATGATAAATGCCGACTTCTACCCAGTTGAGAGTACGCTCCCTGGAAGAACCGGGGCCCTGAGAGGCGTCCCCCTTCTCTGCTGATTATCAACACACGCAAGTGGTCGAAATTCACGAGAAGGGGGATGGCCGGACAGCAGATACTGAGATGCTCCAGCCAGTCGTGGTTGTGGTCTGGCAGTGGTGGCGGGGACATCATATGGCCGCAGTTCGAGTCATTCTCTCTTTCCTCCTTTTGCTTCTACCTCGAACACTCCGATGAGACATGCGCCATTCTATATGCCGCTTTGGAAGTGACGCTTTTGTTGTAACCAAATACTCACATTTCACAGGATTCATGTAGTCCCGCGATGGACGTTCCAACCGACTCGGACTATAGCGAAGACGACACGCGAGTTACCAACCATTGTATTGATTTGAGGAATGTACCGGCTCTTGTAACGTGGCGAGATTCTCGCGGCGACATTCAGTCACTGGCAGATCTTCAAGTCGGCCTGGTCTACAGGACTGATACACAGAAGGCACTTGTAAAGCTGCACACCAACACGAAACTCAAGAAGGGGCCGGCCAAACCTACAATTTTTCTATTCATCGACCCGCACAAGATACGGTCCCTGGAGTATATTGATGGGAATGGAGCCGAGTCCGACGAGGCTGAGAAGGATCAGGGGCGATACGCACGAGGACATCTCAATACCAGTACTCACGGTCTGAAATTCACGTTGCGAGCCTCGCCTACATTTGTCGTCCCAGCCGAGTATCCTTTTCAATTTTTCCGTGCCGGTTCTCAAAATGTGTGGAGGACGTGGAGGAATTTTGCAAGAGACATTTCTCAATTCACTGTGCACTTCCCATCAAAGACGGCGCGTGTGACGCCGCTATCGGCGTTTTGCAAAATAGCATCAACACCAGACACTCTACTTCTCTTGGAAGACACCATTGCAAGTCTCTACGGTGGCAAAGGTGGCAAGGTCGTCAATCTCAACGCCGATGAGAGTGATGGTGGAGCGGGTGGGGTCGGAGCGACATGTGATGCGGCGTCTTCGGAAAACGACGCTCCTCCAGCATATGTGGAAGATGTTGCTGGGTCAAGCATATCTGCCGTTGCACCTCCACTATGCCTATCACCTGGTAAGCCCAACTTGACCTTTCAAGACTATTTTTGTGCGCTATAGACTGACCAAATACCATCTATAGGTCCAGGACAACGGAAGCGGCGTCGCATGTCGAATGGCTGTGGTTTGGATGAAAAGTCCACTGCCAGAGATGAAACCTGCAGTACCGCCACTGTTCTTCAAATGATACTAAAGCTGCAAAAGACTGTTGACGAAGGAAGAGCAGCCCAAGATGCGGCTCTAACCAAAATACTAGCCAAGGTAGACACCATAGAGAGTCGACTAGATCGCCTGGAAGCTCAGCAGCGAAACCTGCTTGAAGAAGTGGAGACTCAAGTTGAGGCCCAAGTTGATCCGCTCTGGGATGAATTGAGCGCAAGACTCCAAAGTCAAGAAGATAGAGAACACGACTATATTCGGGACATGATTGAAGAGTCCTTTGACGAAAAAATAGACGAGAAGATCCCCGATGCCGTCAACCAGTACTTCAGCACTGAGGACGATGCTGAGATCTTGGCCGGTGGGGTCATTGGCGAAAAGATTAGGGAAGAGACGCGTGCATATCTACGCAGTCAGCAGTTCACAGGTCACTTTACAATTGTTCATAACGAATAAGATACGTCCTGTTGGCAATACAATACCTCTTAGTCCTATACAACAGACACTGCTTGTTACTTCATATTTGAAAGACGCGCCAAAACTCTGGAATGCCACGTTGCTGTTTTCAGAAGCTCCCGAGATTCGAAGGTAAACATCACATCCACTATTTGAGCACTCAAGAAGCATCTGGGATGAGCTTGGGATAGATGTAGGCAGCAAGAATCTAGTTTGATCATGTTTTATGTCCATCAGGCAGATCTGAGTTTACTTTAACTCCACTACGCTGCTGGATACCTCTGATTGCCGTCCTTGCAGCGAGGATTATTTCATCTTCGTTTATAGAACAAAGACTGCCGTCCTCAACCATAAAGGAGCCGTCGATCATGACATGTGTCACATCCCTTCCTGTACAGCATCCCACTACCAAGCTGACTGGGTCCATTCCCCAGGTGGCGTCTGGGTCCCAAGGTGCCGCCCACACCTTGGCAACATCCAAGACGACCAAGTCAGCCTTCTTGCCCACTTCAATGCTACCAATGTCTTGGTCAAGGCCTAGCGCTTTTGCGCCGCATATTGTGGCCATTTCCAGGGCTTCCTGAGCGCCAACAACTGTGGCATCCAGCATGGCCCCTTTGTGGACGATGGAAGCCAGGTGCATTTCACGAAGCATATCATATGAATTGTTGCACGGCGCTCCATCAGTGCCCAAGGCCACGTTGACGCCTGCCTCCAGCATACGTGGAATGTTTGCGATCCCGGATGCAAGCTTCAGGTTGCTTGTCGGATTATGAGCCACAGTCGTGTTGCTCTCCTGTAATATCGGAATGTCAGCCTCGAGGTCGAGGTGACACATGTGCGCTAGAATCGTCTTGTGCCCTGCCAGCTCCGCATCGCGGCAAAATTGCATCGGAGTTCGCCCCTCGTAGACTTCACGAAAGATTGGCAAATCCCGGGGTGCTTCGGCACAGTGCATCGTGATTCCGATATCGTGGGCGCGACATGCACGGCCTACCTCGGCGAAAGACGCAAGCGGAGCGCCTCGCGGAGTGCCACATGCCGCCCATACGTGTATCCTATCATTACTGCCACCATGAAAGGTGGCATGCGCAGAAAGCAAAGACTCGATAGACATTGAAGAGAGATCTTTATCACGTGCATCCTTTATTTTGAGTGCCGGATTCGTTTCGACAAATTTGACCAGCTTGCCCTGCATGACTCTGTCAGTACACTGCTCCGCAACGAGTGTTGGATCAACCTGTTACGAACCAGACATGCTCGGATCCCCATCTCAGACACTGCTCGCACAACGTTGTCAATTCCGCTACCATGCGTCAGCATAGCCTCCAGAAAACATGTTGTTCCACTGAGAAGCATCTCAGCAATGGTGGTACGTGCAGCAATATAGCCGTCCGCTGTGTCTCCTTGTCCCCCATATGCCGCCTCCAATGGCCATATACGATCGCAGAGCCAGCTGTGTAATGGCAGGTCTTCAGCAAGTCCACGAAGCAGCGATTGAGCCAGGTGGGCATGCGTGTTGATCAGACCTGGTATAATGATCCTGCCTGGCAGCGACATGATTCTTGTTCCCGGTGGAAGTCTTTCTGGCGCCTCGGAGGAGACGTGAACTATCCGTGAACCAGACGTGAGAATACATCCTCTGCGAATGACCCTGCGTCGGGGATCAATTGTAATGATGGTAACATCTTTCAAGAAAATTGCGCTCTCTTGGTCTGCCATCTTCCAGATCGAACAATAGTAATATCAAGAATAACACTCAACCAACACGAGCTGCTTCACATCAGTAAAGCTAGTAAAGGTCTGCTACACAGGAACTTGCTGCGCAGAACGCAACCACTGCGTATAATATTGCCTGTACGGAAGTAGTACGTACCGCTTTGGAGACAATTTGAGGCCGCGATAAGCTGGGTTGTCGTGATATAGGTAAGCGGCGTTCCCCGGGCCGCTTCTATGCATTCGGAGCAGTTCCGGCTAGATAAGGTCACCTCCGCTATAGGAGCAGCTGGGCCAATGAAACTCGGCAAATTGAAAGAACTCAGGCTCTAGAGAAACGAAATAATCGATAGCTTGTATTGAATGGCCTTGAGCCATGCATAAATCTAGTCGACCGTATTTGACCCGCTCATGGCCGAAACCCATTCTGATTGTCTACTTGGTCGTGCATATAAAACTTGGCGTTTGATGTTGCTCTGAAAGTGTCATCATTATCTGAGGTCTGATTGTTCTTAGAAATCAACCAGAGCACGAGATTCACATTGTCGGGTAATGACTTCGTCTACCCACGAGAAAAGAAACCCCACGTCCGGCGAAACCCAGCTCGCATATGCCGCGACGGGGGTCGGACAGGTAACTGATTCAGGTTGGAAAGAAAGAATAGCTCATCTGAAGTGGTACTTTACGACGAGGGAAGGATGGCTTGGTGATTACGTGAGTACCTTTTCTTGGTGTATCTACGCATGACATGTTCCTGGCTTTCCTGTCAAATGTGCTCATAGCAAGCTACAGGACTACCTCTATCTCATCACCCCAAACATCTGGCCATTGAATAGGAAATACAAAGGGTACAAGGCTCCCTTCTATGGACTCAATGATGAAGTACCCATCCTGCTCACCATCATTCTCGGCCTACAGCACGCGCTATGCATGGTTGGTTCCATCGTCTCACCGCCGTTGGCCATTGCAGGCGGCGCCTTTTACTTTGACTCTGCAACTACGCAGTACCTGGTGTCGGCTGCCTTTATTACCACGGGGCTTGCGACAGCCATGCAAGTGACCCGAGTCCATATATCAAAGACACCCTTTTACATCGGTACCGGGTTGCTTTCTGTCGTTGGTCCTACTTTCGATATTTTGCCCATTGCCTTCACCTATACAGACATGCGTTATAATAATGGCACCTGCCCGACAGCAGCTGATGGCACCAAGTTGCCTTGCCCAGAGGCCTGGGGCGCCATTCTGGGTTCCATCCTTTGCACCGTCTGGGTGCAGATTGCCATGAGCTTGTCCCACCAAAGCTGCTCAATAAAATCTTCCCAAAGGTCGTTATGGGAAGTTTGTTATTACTCGTCGGCATATGCTTGGTGGGAAATGGAATGGACAATTGGGGCGGCAGTAGCAACTGCCACGACGGTTCTGGTTTCTATGCTTTATGCCCCGATACATCAGCCCCTCGGCCATTACCATGGTATGTCAAACAGAAAAGGTCGCGTCAGTTGACGATGAAGGCTGACGTTTATTGCTTTCCAGGGGAGATCCTAACTTGATAGGCCTAGGCTTCACTGTGTTTCTAGTGATTGTCCTCGTTGAGCTTTTTGGGTCTCCGCTGATGAAATCTGCTTCCGTAATCATTGGTCTGTTTGTCGGTTGCCTTATGTCTGGTCTTGGAGGATACTGGTCAATGACCAACGTGAATGCGGCACCAGCTGCAACGTTTCTCTGGGTTCATACATTTCCCTTGTCTGTCGATGGTGCACTGATATTGCCTTTGCTTATCATGTTTATTTGCGAGGCTGTATCCTGCATGCCTGACATTCTGGCAACTTCGGAGATCAGCGGTGTTGAGATACAAGGCACGGAATTCAATTCGCGTGTGCAAGGAGGGATTCTCTGTGACGGTGTTGGTAGTTTGGTGAGCGCTCTCGGAACAGGTCCGCCCATGGTCAGGTAAGCTTTTCGCATTTCCACCTACATTCTCAACGGCTAGTGACCGCAAAGTCATTTGCTTCAATGATGCTCGCGTAGCTTGTATCGCCCATGCTGATATTTTCACAGTCAAGCTGGTAACAACGGAGTCATAGTGATTACTGGCTGCGCCTCACGACGTGCTGGGTGGTGCGCCTCGGCATTCCTGTTGTTGATGGGCATCTTTGGCAAATTCGGTGCCATATTCGGCGCGATGCCTCCATCCGTTCTAGGTGGCATGCAGGTTTTCCTTTACAGCTCAATTGCCGTCGCAGGTCTGCGGGTGCTCGGCATGGTTCGTTATACGCGACGAAACAGATTCATCCTAACTGTTGCACTGGGCATCGGGTTTCTCGACGTCACCAGATCTGACTGGTGGGACAGTATTTTGACATATTCAGGCTCTAATGTAGCCCTTTCCGGTTTTGAACAGGGCCTCAACCTGATTGTACAAACACCCTTCATTATTGCAGCAGTACTGGGAGTTGTGTTGAATTTGATTCTGCCAGAAGATGCCAGCCAAATGGATTCTATGGCTGGTGTAGAGCATAGCAGGCTAAGCTTACCGCACCATTCACACGATTAATTACAATAAGGACAATTTTAGAGTAAAGCCTCCAGGAGATCTGGTTTGCTTGGCTGTATTGGTTCAACATCAAGTTCTCATAATTTGCTATGTATGATCACTATCTACTCAGCAACAGAGACAGCTACGTCATTGAAGATATTATCAATCATTTAATAACATTTGTTATTGTATCAAGTCTCATTTGTATTCAATTAGTAGTGTTGAATCAAAACCGACTTGAGATATGACAATAACAATGATGATCATATTTGGAGATTTTTGGATTGACGCTACTTCGAATCTGTTCAGTCTTATGCTTATGTGTGATGAGAATTAGAACAGTCCCGCATGATCATAAATTGGCTGAAATTTTGCAGAACCCACACGAGTTCCAGTCTTCCCATGATCTGATGGCGTCAGCTATCGTGGCGTCAGCTTGATTTGTCTTCACGGAGTGCCCGCATTCGGGATTGATGCGTATGACCAATACATAGAATATCATCATTGGAGCAGTCAGCCTTTCAGCTCTTCCAATAATGGCGATACTACAAACCTTGTTTCACGCAAAATGATCCTGAATGTAAGTCTGTTGCTTACGATGCCTCGAATTGGTCGTCTGATAGCCTAGTATTCGCGCTGCGGATGTCTTTGTGGCATGGCCTGACAATGGAGTCTCCCTGCAATACATAAAGGGGGACATTCGCTGCTAAACTTGTGAGCTCGATACAACATCAACAACAAGATTCAGCAGCAGCGCACACACAACATCTCAACTATCACTATGGGTTTCACCTCGTACTCCGGCCCCTCTGGGAATTTCCCACCTCAATCGCAATGGAAGTCTTTTGAGGAGATCTTCAACATCAACAAGCCCGAGATGCTCAGGACTGGCAACACGGGCGAGGACGTCGGCCGCATATGGAATGCAGTTCTTGAATGTGCCAAGATTGGTGTGGAAGAACGCGTTATCTTCTGTATCATCATGCAGGAAAGTACCGGCAACGTCGGCGTACGCACCACCACCAACGCCGATGGACACTTTACCGCCGGCTTGATGCAGTGCGATGGCTCGCCAGGTTTCCCGGGACAACACGGATTGAGCCAGGTATGGTTTCTTTCCTGAGCCCAACGTCTCAAGACTGGGGGGTAGCCACACGAAGGCAAATGCACAGATTAGTTAATTGTTGTCTGAACAGGAACAAATCACATCCATGGTCCGAGCTGGAACGAATCACTACAAGGCCAATCTTAAAGAGTTTGGAAACGCTGATAATGCCGATACCATTTACAAGGCTCTGCGTGCCTACAACTCTGGCTCTGTCAACGTCAACAATCTCAGCGATGGCCGTGGTGCTACTGCTAGTTATGTCAGCGACGTTGCGAATCGTCTCCTAGGACGTACAAACTGAGTGTAACGAGGCACTTCGGATATACACTTCAGTCGGTAAAAGGTCGCTCGTTAGATAAAGACATGTAAAGCTTACAATATGAATCCCGATGTGCATATTTTGCTCCAACGTTGAGGTTGAGTCCATTAATATTGATTAATAATTGTGGCTCCTTTTTTGCTGCATTGTGATTTGCTTGCACCTGAGCTTTTGCGAATTAATGCATACGTACACAGTGTTTAATGGACAACTTGATCAACTTGGGCGACTTATGCTACACGAGTCAAGACAAGATTGCTTAGTATAGTTCCCTCCACAGTGATGGAATACGATGGAAACTAGGTATACGGAATAATACCGGCCATATTACTTGCCCCTGTTGCCTGCTGCCTTAAGAATGCGGGGAATAATGGAGAAGAATTGGGGAGAGGATTGCGGGGAGACAAGGATGAAATCAAATAGTCTTGTACGCTTGGTGTAGCTTCACGCTGGATGTCGGAACCCGAAGGCACTGCCTACGGAATACCACGAGTAGATTGCATACTATGGTAGTATGCTAGCTGCAGGACCGTGCTATAGATCCTTGGATCGTGACCCACTTGTAAACCAGTTTAGTGTGTGTGCAGTAGCAAGAGGATTCCTGCCTGCCAGCCCCGGTAGCTTTAATCGCGCAACCAACAATTGACGACAACCGCCATCAATTGCCGAAAAGCGTCCTGTGCCATCCGGCAATGATCAATCGGTAATGATCGGTACGACGGCGGTGAAAGGCGGTGGTGGCCATGGCAAGCCAGATAAGGATCAACAGTGCCAAGGAATTGCGTTGTCAGCAAACCAATGTAATAAAGGAGGATGTCCTCAACCAAATCGTCAACATGAGTTCCAGGGTCAGGAATCAAAGAAACCGCGAAAATTGAGTGTGACAATGATGATCCTCTTCGCCAGTACACTCCTTGCCTTCCTCTGTCTACGTGTTGGAGCGACTGGGGAAACGCAGAACGATGCAACGTTTGATGAAGCTTGCGCTCAGTTGGGGTCGACCGTCTTTTCCCCAGAGGTCAAGACGTTGTCAGCAGAAGTCCTCCCTGCCGGCACGACTTTGATCGTTCCCGGCCTTGACTCATCATGCACCAACTCGACAACCATCGCCGCCGATCTTTGTCGCTTGAGCTTAAACGTCACAACGTCGCCTCGTTCTGATGTGTTGATGGAGGTTTGGCTGCCTCGAAATTGGACGGGCAGGTTCCTCTCAACCGGTAACGGGGGAATCAATGGATGTCTGAGCTACGATGATATGGCATATGCGACATCACTTGGATTTGCTACCACTGGCTCAAACAATGGCCACAGTGGCCAGAACGGTACCCGGTTCCTCAATAACATTGAGGTGATCAAAGATTATTCATACCGCGCAATAACGACATCCGCGGCTGTTGGGAAAGAAGTAACTGCGAGTTTTTATCAAAAAGGTCATACTCGATCATACTATCTGGGTTGCAGCACTGGCGGCCGACAGGGTTTTAAGATGGCTCAGGATTTCCCTGAAATATTCGACGGAATTGTGGCCGGCGCTCCTGCTTTCAATTTTCAGGGTCTGATGTCCTGGTCCGGTACTTTTCACTCCATCATCAAGAGGGGTGGCGCAGACGGATTTCCTCCGGCCTCGACTTGGTCTGCCGTTGATGCCGAGCTTTTAGCTCAGTGTGATCATCTGGATGGTGCAGTTGATGGAATTCTCGAGGACCCGTCCTTGTGTAACTTTCGTCCCGAGGCCCTCATCTGCCAAAACGGTCAGAATACTTCGACATGTCTCACAGGCAAGCAAGCAGACATGATCCGTCAGTTCTTGTCTCCAGTTTACGGAGTCAATGGCAGCTTTGTCTACCCTCGCATGGAGCCAGCCCCTGGATTCCTCTCCTTTATCAATTCGAGTTACAGTGCAGCCCAGTTCTTGTACACCGACCACTGGTTCAAGTATGCGTTATACAATGACCCCAACTTTAACACGACTTTTCTAGGGCCGGATAACTGGAATTACGCGTTCCAGAACGATCCAACCGGTGCTCGAACGTGGTCAGGTGATTTGACACAAATGGCGGCTCACGGCACAAAGTTGATTCACTATCATGGCCTGCAGGATACATTGATATCATCTGCTAGCTCCAACACTTACTACGACTTGGCTTCCAGAACAATGAGTCTCTCAAGTGATGGATTAGATGATTTCTACCGCTATTTTCGCATCAGCGGCATGGGACATTGTACCGGTGGCATTGGCGCAAGTGCCATTGGAAATAGAGGAGCAAATACCGCCAGCATTGACCCTGCTCAGAATGTATTAACAGCCATGGTTCGCTGGGTCGAAGAGGGACAAGCGCCAGAAGCTGTTATCGGAAGCAGGTTTCGAAATGGCACCAAGGCTCTTGGAGTAGAGTATACAAGATCACATTGCAAGTTTCCCCTCAGGAATATGCTTAAACCTGGCGGAAATTCGACTGTTATGGGTGATTGGGAGTGTGTTGTATAATTATATATTAGTTAGCTCACACAATTGCCTTAAGTAGCCGCATAACATGACAGTTGCCCTTGTTACTTCAAGTATGAATGTAGCTTGTGTACGAGTTACGACACTACAACACATCGAACATTACGGTGATTATTCCGAAAATTGATCACTATAACTATATATTTAATCACTAATGTGTATTGGCACTTACATGAATGCGCTTAGGATTAATATCGTCGAGTGAAAGCATAGTTCAACTTGAAATGAAAAGGGTATGGGTCATTGAGCAACATCATAATGAACTTATGTTTCTGTACTAGGTAAACAAAACACTTATCTTACAACAGAGGCGTGGTCTACGGTGCAAATGTAGTGAATAAACAGAATGGCAACTACGGTTATTGAATCTCCAGGTGTAAACAGCCGTACCCGAGGAGATCATTAGAAGTATTAATTTAGCACTTATTTTGAGCACGTTTCTCAAAAGTCTCTCGTGGCGCATCTGGCTATCTGCTCTTCGCAACTTAGCATAACCTAGCAGTGTCGCACTTAGGCACAGGACTAGTTTATGAAAACATATGAAACATGAGGAAGGTTCTACATTTCACGAGTGGAAAGAAACAAAATGGGAACAGCCGAGCACTTATGATTATAAGTAGGTACCTGTCCGGTAGGCCGGATACGTTCCGCGGAAATGTAGTATTCCGAACCTAGATCCACTTGCCCGGAGCCGGTAAAGCGGGTATCACGGCGAAGGGTACTCAAGGTTGCGGAAGTTTCCATTAGCAAAGATGATGCTAGTCAACGTCTATATTGGTCATCGCTTCTTTCATGCTCGCACCGAATGTTCCCATTTTTAGTCATTGGTTGGCTGCTTCTCGTCATGTGCTCGGTACTGGGTAGTTGAAGCGTTGTCTGACCACATTAGACAACTCTTACGAGGGTGATATTATTCCAATATTCTTTTCCCGCGGGGAGGAAGCGAATGGGTGCGCACGTACCATATAGCACGCCATGGAGAATCTTTGTATTGAACGAGTAACCGTTGTGTCCTGTCGTTAGCTTGCTGTTTCTTGTTCGCGAGTCTTGGACACCAGATGCAGTATCTCTCATTCCCACGTAAATCGCGAAGGCTACTCCTAAGCTCGTGATATGGATGGGAATGCGGCACAACGGAACTTTACCATCGACCAATATGTCAATCCATGGATTCCTCGGCCACCTTGGGCTTACCTCCCATATCCGGTGGCTCACTTTCTAGGCTACCGATCGAGCCCGCGCCGCGATGCAGGCTACATTGTCACGATTCTTTGGGCAGCTGTGGGTGTATTCACTGGCTTATTGCTCATCGAAATCACCGGGCGGTATATACCTTCATTTCAACAACACGATGCACCTGTAATCATTGGCAGTTTCGTAGGTGTTGAGACCAAACTCGAAGAGATTCAGAGATCCTGACTATGCCACAGGGTGCCGCAGCCGTCCTTGAGTTTTATGCCATCGACTCCCCGCTTGCACAACCCCGAAATGCTGTATTTGGACAATTACTCGCTTCAATCATAGGTGTCGGTATTCGAAAGCTGTTCGAAAAGGGCGAAAGTTTACAGAATCTCATGTGGCTTGGTGGCTCTGTCAGCTGCGCCTTGGCGACAGCAGTCATGGCACTTACCGGCACGGTACATCCACCTGCTGGTGCAACCGCACTGCTGGCTGTAGTTGACAATAATGTCGCTGCAATCGGCTGGTTCCTTTTGCCAGTGATCCTCCTTGGATGCGTATTGATGCAAATCGTTGCATTATTGCTCAATAATGTCCATCGGCGCTTTCCATTGTATTGGTGGTCACCTGAAGAGGTTGGGTATGGCTGGAGTAATGAAGATTCCAGAGCAAAAGATACAGAGAAGAATGACCTGTGCGACTCAAGTCGCGCCGAGGCTCGAGCATCGCACCACACATTTGTGCAGCTTGTCGTGAGCAGGGAGCATTTACATGTACCAGAGACGGTGTACATAACCCCGGAAGAGTTCGCTGTTCTAGAGGCGTTGAGAGCGAGATTGTGATTCGAATTATACCCAGGTATTTTGGCAAAGTCTCGGCATACAGGTATAATGACTTATCACATTGATAACATCTTCGGGAAAGAAAAACAATGAGTTACCTGCATGTCTCGCGTACGGTTCAGTCCCTCTATATTACATTCGATCATCTTTTAAAAGCGCCACGAAGCCATATTAAACAAAGGTATGACTACTTGCCTTACTTTATTGTGTTCAATTGTGAATGGGAGTCAAGAAAGTGCAAGAGTACAAACAAAACGTAGGCCATACATTGGTCTACAATGCATTCTAGCTAACTTTGATCCGCTTACACCAGTCTCTTCCTTGATTTACTTGATAGTTGCAAAGCCATGGCTCAATCGACATTCCCACGAAACCTGCTATGCATATGCCGGCACTATCACTTACACTTGTTGCTCCAAGACTGAATTCACGTTCAGAAGACGGTACATTTTCCATAATTTCGGCAAACGTATTGACATATACCGCACCACCCAAGAGCCCTTCCCAGAATATCACGATAAACACGAGGTAGACGCTTGGTATGAAGAAGAACAAGGCGTGCAGTGTGAGAAGGACCAGATTTCCGATTTGCAAAAATGACGGTAAATAGAGATGTCGAATCCGTATAATTGCAATCGAGGACCGTGATATGAAGACGCCGAGCTGGTAAAGAAAGCCATACATGGGATAAAAGGCTCGATACTCGGAGAAGGGTGAGGACTCTAATGGGAAAAGCAGAGTTGGCGCAACTCCTTGGTTGATGGTATACTCAGCCACGTATACGAGTAATAATGGCAGCATGTATGGGAAGAACAGCGATCTTGCTCTGCGCAAATGCATATCAAATTTGGTCATACGGCCACCATTTGGGGACGAAAAGGCGGTGGTCATGACTGCCGTCTCAGGGACCAACAAGCTCGTTGCTGCATTGTCTGTTGGAATATCATCGATGTCATCTCGCTCGTGGTCATTCTCAGGAACTGTCTGGTATTCCTTTGCGCCCCGAGCCTCGCGAAGCGGACCTCGCGGCAGAATGACGAAGAAGCTGAGGAGCATGATTATGGGAAGGAAAGCTGACGACAACAAGCTATTTTTGACGCTGAATCCAAACCAAGTGGTAAATGTAGCGTAAAGCCCAGCGCCTACGAGGCCTGCAGCACCCGTTCCACTTCCCCAAGCAGCCAAGCTCATATGTCCATAGTAATGCGTTAAGCCTAGGAAGCTGAGCTCGCCGCCACCGCTTGTCAGACTCGCAAAGACAACCCCGGCCATCTTGAATCCGACCGATTTGTTGGATGGGGTAAGGGCGATGAGAAGCATGCCGAGGGACGAGCCAGTAGCGAAGAATATGACGCGAACCCAATAGGGTACTTTGTGAATAAAGTATGGAGCAATGAGCTTGGTGAAGAAGGATGGCAGTACGTCGGCGAGTAGGACTACGCCCTTGGGTACATCGGAACCAACGAGATCCTGAGCGGCGGACAAGATGATAACGTATAAAACATTGTTGATCAGGCCTGAAAGAAAACCACATTAGCAATCCAGTTGTAGACAGTGAATTGATGGTCTCCGAGACGTACCAAAGAGCCAGAAGGCCACGAGAACAGCATTGTCGGTGCTCTTCAAGATGGCGGTCAGGCGCGCTCGATAGACGGCCCAGGAGGAGGAGGGAGAACCCGGCATTGGAAGAAGGCCGGATGATGACGGCGAGCGAGCCATGAACAAGGGAGCTGAAGAGATTGTTGACAAAGCCCTCCTTATCGCAAAGAGACGAAGTTGGCCTCGACGTCGACGAGAAGGGCTCCGTAGAGCTCGGGGTGACGGTGGTGCAGGCCGAGCGCTGCCTGAATCTAGGGGTCTTGTCGGCGTCGTTGTCGTCGTGCCAGAGACCAAAAGTTGTAGCCGACGGAAATCTCGGTGATCAAGGGAATCAAAGTTTCATTCCAGTTCGCATTGTGTGATGAATGTATCCAGGTAGGGAGACAACATTGAATAATCGGGCATTCGAATGGGAACCACCTATCTGCAAGCCTTATCAGCGCGCGCGCGCGCGGGGCCCATCCATGTGATGGGATGCCCAGGGACTCCAGGGACTCTGACGTCGCTGGGCTGCTACTGGTAGTAATCTGGGTAGGCTCTGAGTAGTAGTGGGGCCTAAAGCGCTTTTCATATGGCGCTCCCAGGGCACCTCATAGTGCCTCAATGCTCTCTTGAACCTTCCAACAACCCATTGGCCATATGGATCTTAACGCATTCAGCCACAACCTAAGACCCATCAACCTAGATGTAGCTTAGGTCTCATTGAGTTGAAATTATAGCTAGGTAGTAGGATCGCAAAGAAACTGATCCTCTTTTTCTTCCCAACCAATGATCGCGAATATCATTAGTGTTACCTCTCGTGATGAATATCTTGCTAGGATGGAAATCTTGCAACGACAGCCTACCTAGTAGATAGGTACCTATCGGCCAACCGTGAACCTATTACAAGTTTCCCTCGACAGCATCGGTAGCGTCGCTTCGGTAGCGTCGCCGTCATGTCCACGTGCGGGGGACTGAACACATGGACCTGACTGGACAGCTGATGCGCACTTTGCAATACCTGTGCAGATCGTGCGATCTCTATCAAGATCAGTCCTGCAGCCAGTAGATCTACTGCCAGGACCGCCAAGTAACCAAAGGGCTTGCCATTATCAGCAGACACGAAACCTCAAATAATAGTAATGGTATGGATACATGTAGAGACAACAAGGAGAGCTGCTCATGTGTCATGTATACCTAAGGAGTCAATATGGGGTAGACTTTGCCCATGTCCAGCCGGTTCGGCATGCTCAGAATTGCGGACTCTTGTCTCATTCGTCTCACTATCATCAACAACAAAAGTTGTAACAACTGATTTCGATACTACATTTCAACGTAGAGTGCTGTCTTACATAGAGACCATACATGATATTATCCCTATTTTTAGAACTAGAATTATTACCTTAAATGTCGCTTGAGTTCAAGATGGGGAAAGATACATGTAAACCCCCCCCCCTCCCCCTCTCCCAACAAAGCCTTACCCGAAATTCTCGATACCTATATCATACCTCCAGCGGCTATGCATGCACGTGAGATTGCATTTCTCGCTGTCTCAGCAAGGTCGCCTCCCATTTGACAGGCCAAAAAATACTACCTGGGACAAAAAGCTCTGGGGACTTTGGAGAAAAGTGCTAGTGGTGGGCACCGCCACTATATTGATCGGCCAATTTCGGTAGCTGAAAACCATTTGAATCATTGTTTTTCCAACGGAGCTGGTCAGCTGAACTGCTCTAACCGTCATAGGATGCGACCTCTGGGAAACCACCAGTGGCCATGCAGATAGTATTGCCCCTCTAGTAGGACCTCGAGGCTGCAGCGGCGGCTGATCGATCACATACGGTTGAGTTGGTGTGACCAGGTCGCATGGCGCAATACTCGTCACGGTTAGCGAAACTGCGATGCACTCCAAGGCTGTCCTTTACATTTCCTTCTTGCCTCTGGCCCATGAAATGAAATGCTTTTCCATTCATACGTACGCGCAACGGCCTACACGACGCCATCAGCTTCTTGGAAATTCAAATCAACTGTCAAGGAATGCTCTTGCTCCCACGTTTTCAGCACCCGCATAAGAACACACATCGGCCACAACTCAGCCTGCTATAGATCAAGCATTAAACAACTGCATTCTTGCGCAATCATGTCACGGCGATCGCGATATCCAGACTCTATGCAAGCTCGCACTCGAACAGAGCGTGGCTTTGTAAAGACAGAGTCAGATCTTTCCAACTACTCGGGTTCTGATTCGTCCAGTTTGCCAAAGTTGCCAACTAATAGTAAACTCAACGACATCTTATCCTACTTTGGATCTAGGAACCCTCTGCCCCGCAGTGTATCCAAGAAGGATACGGTTTGGCTATTTGATAATACTGCCTATCGCAATAGCAAGACTGGGAGATGGGAGGCCGAGTTTGTGTCTGCTGTTTTTGCTCAGCATCCTTCGTGTGTGGTGATCGATGCGGTGACGACCGTCGCCAAAGAGATCGGCCTGGAAGATAGCAACCCCGAGCATGCTACAATCGAAGAAAGGATACTTCCCTTCCTTCAGGACATTAGACCTGGGACCCAAGTCAAGGCTTTGCATGCTGGTAATCTGTCACTCAGCCTAGGTCCTGGGGGTAGGAATGGTATCAGCAACGACATCAAGAAGCTCAAAAACAGTCATGATGGTTCGCTTTTGGTACCGAGCTTCGCTAAAGTCCCCGTTGGTGCCAATGGCCTTCTGGAGATGAGGACTTTCTTTGCCGAGCCAGATGGTTGGGGTGTGATCTCTGGTAGGTTTGACAGGAGGTGGCCTCAGCACGACAAAACCGGAGGCTATAGACACCCAGGGTTCGCTAACACAAGGACAGATATTGACGATACCATCAAGATCACCATGACTTCAGACCCTATCGGAATTCTGCGATCAACATTTGTGGACTCTCCGACTCCTTGCCCCGGAATGCCAGAGCTTTACGAATTTCTTCACGCTACCATCAAGGAGACGTCACCTTTCTTTTATCTCTCTGCATCTCCTTACAACCTGTATCCATTTCTACGGGAGTTTAGAAATGATTATTACCCGCCTGGGACGATCATCTTGCGGGACTCTAGCTTCATGAGCCTTCCAGGACTGCTTTCACAACTCACACTGGGTACTGGGGAGTACAAGGTCGACCGAATGAAAAAGATTCATTCATGGCTGCCAAAGCGGAATATGATTTGTATTGGCGATTCGACGCAGGCAGACCCCGAGTCTTATGGAGAGATGTGAGTTACGAGACTCGATCTTGTGGGTACTCATTACTGACGAAACGAATAGTTACCGAGCCTTTCCTGGCTGGGTCAAGTTGATTCTTATTCGCAAGGTGATTGATATTGCCTCGATTGGCATAGAGGCTAAGAATGAGCCGGAACGGTTCGAGGAGGCCTTCAATGATGTACCACGCGACAGATGGCATGTCTTTGAGGACCCCGCAGAATGTAAATCTATAATCCAAAGAGTTGTGGAGTCGGAGTCCTAATTACTGGGGCTCCTGAGGGCGGACCATTCAGAGGGTGGCACGAAATAGTGGAACAAGCTGGCTTGTACTTCGTACTTTATATTCGTATTATTTGCCCCTTTCCGTCTTAAGGTCTAGGAATGGAGAATGTGGCTGGAAACGGATGGGTTAATTCATTATGGAACTATCGTCAGAAACAAAGGGCCTTGAAATACTCTTACAGAATAGGGAATGTGGCTGTACGTCAAACGAGACCCCTAGATCAAATGTGCTCACTCTGAGAAGCTTTGGGAAACAAACGTAAAGCAGCGGAATCTACCTTTAGAATCTACAAATACATTTGCTTACTAGGTACTAAGGCATTTTGTCATGGAGATAACGTCATTGCTTATTTGTTTGTACGTACTATGCACCCGGGTGCCGGCCGCTTGAACGACGCGACCCCGCTGTGACAGGATAATGGCGGGGAAGTTGTAGGCTATTTTAGCTCCCGAAACTACTAGATACCCAGCCTTAAATAGCTTCGAGGCTCGCCCTCGGGAAATGACGAATCCACGAGTGAGGAAGCAATTTGTTCTCAAGTTTTTCATCAATACCAGCCGCCAAACAAGAGGAGCAAATTGACATTCAGTGAGAATAATCAACGGATATTTATCCAAGATAATCCAGCAATGTCTGAGCCCAAGCGCCAGAAGTCATCCAAGGATGTTCCCTACGAGTTGATCTACTGGCCTGGTATTCCTGGTCGGGGAGAACATGTTCGACTTGTCCTGGAGGAGGCTGGTGCAACATATACGGACACTGCACACATCGAAAACGGTGTCAAATCCGTCACAGCACAGATCGACGACAAGAATGTGGGCGATAATGAGAACCCGCCTCCTTTGGCCCCGCCAATTCTCAGGCACGGGGACCTGACAATATCACAAACACCAAACATACTTCTCTACCTTGGAGCTCGCCTCAATCTGGTGCCCGATCCGGAAGATGACGCCGACGGGCTTTACAAAGTGAATCAACTGGCATTGACTGCTTTGGACGGACTATCCAATGAACCCCATGACTGTCACCATCCTGTGGCGACCGGCCTTTACTACGAGGATCAGAAGGATGAAAGTCTCCGCAAGAGCAAAGACTACGTCAAGAATCGATTGCCCAAGTTCCTAGGCTACTTTGAGAGGGTTATCACCGGAAAAGCAAGTGGCGATGGCCCATGGCTTCATGGTGGAAACCTATCCTACGCTGATCTAGTCTTATTTCAGGTGAGATACAACTTGTTACGAGTGGCAGAGAAGCTTGTGTTGACATTAGTTAGTGTCTTGATGGAGTCAAATTCGCATTTCCAAAGGCCATGGAATCGGCCCAAAATAGCGGAAAATACGACAACGTGTTCAGATTGTACGAGGCCGTGAAGGACAGACCCCGTATTAAGGAATACTTGAACAGTGACCGCCGCCAAAAGTACTCATTGGGCATCTACAGGTACTACCCAGAGCTCGATGTCATTGAGTAGACCGAGAATGGGAAAACATAGATACATAATCGAGAAGGGGCCCTTGATTACTTGCCAGTTTCTCTGCGCTGCGTGCAACATGGGTGAATGCGTTCTTGCGGCCCAGTCAAGTCAGTGTTACTGACCGCTTCGACCCAGCAGATTTGAACTGCCATCGTACAGACTCGGAGAACAGCTTGCTTAGGTAGTGAATCTCCAAGTCGGATGATCATCTCCGAGATTATTCACGTCTTCTCCTTCCAGCCGCAAGTCACGGTCTCCCCGATCTCTCTTCTTGTTCTCAACGCGGACCCCAACATAGAGAACAGTACACGCTCCTGCACAGAGCCATAACATCCCAAGGCTCACTCCATAGCCTGTCCAGTAGAACGGAGCCTCGGCATCGAAGAAAACATTGGAGGCAACAATTCCTCCAAGATTACCAAAGCCCACTTGTGCGGCCGACGAAACAGCCCTTTTATAATGCCCACTTACATTATTTGCGAGCCATGTCAAGGTAATGGGCTGTGTAGTGTAGCCGCCACTCACAACAAGTATCAAGGCAAAGTAACGTACGCCGACAGAAACATGTTGTTGGCAGAGCAGTAGTATGTATCCAACGGTGGCAACCCCGACCCCGATCAACGTGAACGTGTATCTGTGTTGGAGGCGATCGGTCAAGTAAGCTGCTGAGAGACATGCTACTGCCGCCACAACATATATGGGTATTGTTCGCACCTGAGCTGCTGCCGCGGTGAGACCCATCTGCTTCAAAATCGTTGGAATGAAGAACTGCATCAAAGTAAGCTGGGTAGAGGCAATAGAGCAACTGTTTCATGGGCCTACCGATCCAGCATAGCCAGTATTGACCACACCAAAATATGCGACAGTACCGGCATAAATCTTCCAGTCCGTGGCAATACGCTTGGCTGACGTCTTGTCTAGGTGATCCATTCTTGCTTCGCCAGTATCTTGAGCCAGTCTGCGCATGAGAATCTGTCTTTCATCGGCGGACAAGAAACTAGCCGTCTCGGGCCAGTCAGCAATCCACCATTTGGATACACATCCCACCATAACGGTTAACAAACCCTCAAGGATGAATATCCCTAAATTTCATCAGTTAGCCCGCCTTTCTTGACCAGCTGCCCCAAAAAAGAAAAAGAAAAAAAAGAAGAAAGAGGAGAAAAGCTCACATCTCCAGGCTTCATAGCCACCAACTCCACCCATATTCGCAATCGCGAAAGCCAAAAGGCCTGAAAAGGCACCAGCTATGATACTGGCGCAAAAGAATAACGACATTCGCCATTGCAGCTCGTAACGCTTATAATACATGCTGATCAAATACACACATCCTAGACTTGATCAGTATAATGCGAAGATTGACTGCCACGGAACCACAGCCATTCAACATGAACAGACGCACCGGGAAATAAGCCAGCTTCAAAGAGACCGAGCAGAAATCTACAAGCTATAAGCTGGCCCACGTTCCGCGCGAGGCCCTGGCCTACTGTTGCAATACCTGTATCCTTGTGTGAGAATGGTATATTCTTTAGAGTAATGAGCACATACCCCAGAGGATCATTATCACGCTAAGCCATGTAGACGGCGCTGTACGTTTAACGATAATGTTTGACGGAATTTCGAACAGAATATACTACACCACACCAGTCATTGTCAATGAATGGGTTCCAAATGCACTGGTATCTAAGAAATAAGCTCTCAACTTCGTGGGGCATACCGGTACGAAGAAGATGAATAAGGCGATATTGTAGTCGTGGCCGCTCATGTGCAAGTCTCCCGACATGCCTTGGATCCTTGCATTTCCTAGAGGAGTAGATTGAGGCTCAGTTCTATTCAAAGCAAGCCTCAACGCAAGCGACACACTCACCAATATTTGTTCGATCCATGAATGACAGAAAGAAGAGAACTGTAATAGCTGGCAGGACATGTAGATCACACTTCCGGACTAGGCGTTTCTCTGCGTCCGGGTCGAGCAGCGCATGTTCGACAATGTCGTTGTGGTCAGCATCTTTGGGCAACTCAATGTGCTGCGACCCAACCCCGTTGGCTAGATCATTCTTTGTAGGGTGAACCGACATATTGCCTAACGAGACTGTCCAAGGATGACCGGAGGCAGGAGACGATTATAGGATGGACCCTTTGCTTTGAGACTTGATGCCTTATGATGTTGTCACTGGCTTTATATCATCACGAGTTGTGACTCTTATGCAAGGGAAAGCCGATTCCGCATTCCGACTTCCCCGCATCCAAAGTGATTATCACGACAGCGTTGTAATAAGCACGACTTCCCCTTAAGGGATAGAGAGCTTTCCCCCGCATTCTGAGTTGGGGGAGCCCATCCACTAATAGCCGTGACAATCACGGGAATTCTTTTAAGCAGTAATACCCTGCATATTAGCTTCGAAACCTTGAGCTGGACCGCAAGCTATTCGGTTGCTGGACAGCCAAGTGGCGCGCCAAACACACTAAGAACCATGTGGCGAAAGTAGCATGAGTAGAGCGCGTGTCCCATGATCAAGTCGCGGTTCATACTTGCCCTCATTCTATCATATCTAGACCGTATATGATATCTACAGATGTTTCGATGAAAGTCGACTTGAGCAAATCATTCCAGGTCGTCCGTCATGCAAGGCGCCGGATAGCTGCGTAATATGCAGGCTCTGTGGACAAATGAGAGCTGATTAAAATGTCGCCATGCAACCCAATTCCTTATACCCCAAGCATCATCATACATCCTTTTGTTACTGTTTCCAAAGGGATAACGCTGTGTCACGTTCAAATTGGGGGGTTTGGTTGGCTAGTTCCCACGAGAACCTAAGTCTGCGAATTATTGAGCAGCGTTTCTTCGACTTGCTCTCTATTCCGATTGGTTCCCTTATTCTCGGAATCATGGTAAGACAACCATAGATAAGGTTTTATATCATCGTATTCTTGTCTAGCCCATAACAATCGCCTGGCCTAGCCAGCAAAGTAACACGAGCTGTAAAATAGGGACGTTAGCTGCGCAGACTATCTTTAGCTGGAACACAAGCCACATAACTATCGCCAAGCAAGTTCTTGACCAGGCGCACGTTTGTTCAGAGGTGTCGAGTACACTCTGCTGAATATTCCAGGGCAACCATGGTCAACATTTCCTACTACTCAGCACGTACAGAATAGTGTACAAGTAGAAGCAGCCTGTGCGTGGGTGTGCTCATTACTAGCAATCTCAGAGCTTCGGGCATGTTGGGTAATTTCAGGGCAAGAGGATGCAAGAATAAATGGCTAATGATCAAGTCTTTGTCGGATATTGTTTGTAGAAGCCTCGAGTGACTGGTGGGACACAACCTCTTCCCACGTCATGCAGGGGTTTCCCGTGCTTTTTTCATTGTTCAACCTCACGATACAAAACACCAACCAGAGTGCCCCAGTCCTCGCCCCTCTTCAATTTGAACTCGCTCTTCCGGCTCTCAGCTACCAATATTTCGTCATTGCCATTCGCGGTAAAATAAGCAAGGACACCACCTTTACCATCCATGCGCGCCGTCAGTCTGTAGTACTTCTGACCAGAAGAGGTCGTTTTGTTATGCGTGGGGATGAAACGAAGGTCATGCTCGTTGCACCAGTCCTCGACCTCCTCGCGGAATGACTTCTGCGTTGGTTCGAGAGAAGTGGCGGGCATGACAGGCTCTACGACTAACGCTGGTTTCGGTCGGGTCTCTGGTCGGCGCGCTGGTTGTCTCGTAGGCTTAGGAAGTTCACTGATTTTGGCACCAAGTTCAAGCGCGTTGCTGATCATGGCTGTACCACGCTCGAATTCGGCGACCACACTCTCGAAACTAGCAACATCTGCAAGAGCTTCATCTTTCCACCATTCAAACCAGGCACCAATCTCCTCGTAGTTGGCATCCTCGCTCGTAAGCCACTGGTGAAGGACGTCGTGCCACATGGGAAATACCTCGGCAACAATAACCTCAGCGACCATGGATGGCGCGATAATGTCTGTCCACTTGAGAGCACCATTGAGTATAGGAAGATATGGCTCTTGGTCCGATGGGTCGACACGGAAATTACCACGAAGATATTTGGCCATACTAGGAAGCACATGATGCATTACAAGCGGCCTCCACTGATCTTGTGCTTTGGAGGGTCGTAGAACGTCCTTCCATTCCTTCAAGCCAGGGATGACACCCCTTTCAAACTCCCACACATCAACAACTTGCCGGAACTTGCGGCGAACCTCGGCCACGATGCCAGTCCCTCGGGGCTCGAGGTGGTAAGGGGGCAGGTGCTGCAACCAGGGGAACAGCCACAGATGGGGTAGATTATGTTGCTTCTTTTTGGGTCGCCAATTGCTGATTGCGTCACTCAGCCGTCGTACTAGCTGCTCGACCAGCTGCGATCGGACGAATGCTGGCAACAATGGCTCCCACTTGTCAAAGAGAGCGAGCATAGGCTTGGCATCGTACACATCCCAGGTTTGGGCAATTGTTGTAACAAGCTTGGGAAACAGGACTTTGTAAATCATGCTTTCGTATGCCGTGGTCGATTTTTGGTGCTGTCGATGTGTTCCGTCCATCTCATGGTCGTTCCATTTGGTAACTGCGGTTTGTGCTGTCTTTCTTCCCAGCCCGAGGATAGTCATGATGGCTGTGAGATCGTCTGCAAAGTTACCGAGCTTGGGGTCGTCCAATGGCTGCCATCCTTGAACAGCGTCACGTAGAAATGGATGTATAGCTGCAACAGCAACACTGCTGACATCGTCGTCGTCGATATCATGTCCTGCGCGAGCGCTTGTGATTTCTTTAAGCCCAGAAATGACAGGGTCCCACTGTTTCTGACTTGCCGCGTGTGAAATCTTTTCCAAAAGAGAGACCACCAGCTCCATGGCACCAAATGCATTATTGAGCTCGTCCAGTGTCTGTTGACGCTGATGAACTTCCATATCCAGCCAAGCCTTTCTTTCCTCCAATGTCTTCCACTCCTCCACGAATGCATTTAGGTCACGCTGAGCACGCCCAGCGAGCTTCCTAGCCTCAGCCGATTCGAGGACCTCCGTCCCAGCGGTCGGAGTCATTAGGCCGGAACCGGGGGTTAACAGCTTATGCCCAGGCCCAGTCATATCAAGAATTGGGGCAAAGGCATCAGGGATATGTAAGCCGGGGGCCGCCTTCTTCATGTCATTGACCGTTAGATACTTTGTCTTTGGTCGTCGTGGAGTACTGCTGCCGCTGGCCGTGCCACTATCGAGTCCCTTCAGCTTTCTGTCGCGAGCCTTTTTTCTCCTTTTCTTTTCTTCATCTTCCGAGTCAACCACATCTTCACCACGTATGCGCGCTTGACGTTTTTCCTCCTCTCTTTCCTGTTTCGATTTCTCTCTTACAGCTCCCAGGCCGACGCCCTGCGGCCGTAGTGTAGCTTCAATGATGACGTTTCTACCTTGACCCTCTGCACCAAGGCCTTTGCCTTCGACAAAACCCATTTTGGCCAACATCTTTTGCCCAAAACTCATCTTGCTCCCACCTCGACTGTTGCCATTGCCACCAAAGGCGCTCGGTTTAGGTGAATGGGTTGCAGAGGTTGGCTCATTGGCCAGACTAGGTTTGAGAGTTGGCATATTGGCAGAAGAAGGAATAAAACCTCGACCCAAAGGTGCATTCGCATCAAACTTGGAGCCAGTAGTTGGTCCTGCTCGTATTTCGCCGCTCTTCAGAGACGTAGGAGGTGCTGAAGCTTGTACCGGTGGCGTCCAGCCCGATGCTCGTCCACTCGCACCAAAACCAAGCCCAAGCCCAACGGTAATTTCGTCGTCCTCCAGATCGTCATCATCGTCCTCGTTTTGTTCGACATTGGTTGAGGCTTGCTTGGTCATTCCAAGCCCAAACCGAGCCGTTTCGGCGTATTCGGGGTCATCGTCCATGTCTTCATCTTCATCTTCGTCTATATGCTCCCCATCCTCATCCTTTTGGGGACCCGCTGACACAAAGTTCATGTTTTGATGCCGAAGGCTCTTCTTGCTCTTTCCTTTTGGGGCCGGGCGCTCATCCTCGCTATCGGAGCCAAAAATGCCCAAGGCAGCGCTCTCTTTTCCGTTGTTGAACTTGCGGCGCTTGCGAGGCTTGAAGTCATCGAGGTAATCAGAGCGAGGATCTCCAGAGGAGGGATTGAGGTGATCATCGTCGTCGTCGTTGTCCGAATCCGAAGATGAGTAGGCCGCCGCATCTGCCTTGGAAATATTGCCTGAGTAGGGGGCCATGATGAAGCTCTGAATTCTTGGTTCAATCGACACAGATCACGTTGGGTGCGATCGCTCGTGCGTTGCGGTCTCCTTTGAGCAAAAACCGCAATGCGAATAAAAAATTGTGTCCATCAAGATGGAAATGTTGTGTATGCACGTGGAGATGTACCATATGACGAACAAGCTTAGCAGTCAAAAATGTACAGCATCTATGCTACACTGGGGTTGGCGGGTACTAGGCATTTGACGTCGTTGCCTTCCAGGCAGGCGGCATCTTATCGATATGGAAACGCACTGTGCGCGACGCGCTTTGATATGGTGTCAAATCACTGTGCCTCTTCCGCTCTCCGAATTGCGCCAAATATACACAAATCCATGGGGAACATTTGGACTCTCTAGCAGCTTTTCGAGGCATGTCTGTCATTGTATTTTTAACTGGGCAGATGCTTGTAACAAGATCACGTAATCGGATAGAATTCCATATCATAGAAAGGACGCAGCCTTGCGCTTTCATGCTGTATACACAATGCCTCCAATCAAGCTCAGGCGGTTCGTAGAGAATACATGTACTCTGGGTATGAGCGTGCCTTTGCGTGCTTCTATTACCCCCATGTTGCGCCGTAAGCCTCAAGTCTTAAGCCTCACGTTCACGTATTGAACATGTTGGCTTGGTGCTAGTCGTTTTGCAAAGCCGGCTAGTGGTGCCCATTCAGGAAATCTGCTGCACAACATTCAGTGTATACTTTCAAATGTCCAAGTGAACAATAGTGCTCGCGGCAGCTCGTCTGATATGTGGTAGAGGTGTAAACACCTATTTGCCATACCGTCAGTCTTCGCGATCGAGCCAAGTTCCTTCTGGATTGCTGGAGCAGGGTTTCATTTGTGTCTTCCTCATTTCTTGACGCCTGCCATCCAGTCCTTGGAATCCTTGGCGCCGTTATGCGCGCGTACGAACAGGGCTCGTTCCCAAGCCTCTAGGCCTCGCGTAAAGTCTCCTCCTCCCGCTGGGTTGTGGTCATCACTGGCACCGGCTTTTCTGGCATGCAATGCTGTTTCTCCTGCTCTTGTGACAAATGTCCTTCGTAGTACGGCACACATGCCTGGCTCCTCGAACAGATCCAGCATTCGCGTCGCTAGGGCGTAGAAATTATGCGACTGGTCACGGAGGGGCACGGCGCGCGGATCGGCTTTGAGGGCTGAGATGACTTCATTCGAAAGCGTAGCCGGCATGGAAAGGGTGAGAAATGGAGCTGTGTCTTGAGAATTGGCAGACCGGTTAGCTAAAGCCAAGAGCTCAGCAAGCCATAGCGGCAGTGAGACTGCAGTATTCGCCTTCAGCGGTTGTGACGGATTGTTGTCGAGATAGCCCAACTCTGGCACCTCAATCTCGAATTTGCATGGTACTTTCTAGACATCGGCGAAAGTGTCAATTTGGGTAGACCGAGTATTGAGGTTACGGGGAGAGAATTCATACCTCTGCATCCGTGAGGATGGCGTCCAAATCGTAGTAGGACATGCTGAGCAAGCGGGGCCGGCCAAAGTTAGTGATCGCTTTGGTGCTGTGTTCTAAAGACAGTCATTTGATCAGAACAGCTTCAGCTTTGACCCTGGGGTACTAGGTATTGTATGGTTAAACCTCAAAGTGGTTGCTATTATATGTATGTTGTCGACATGAGGTTTGTGAGATACTATGAATGTACCTGGTGGAAGACGCGACGGCTCGACTTGTCGGCGCGCGCGTTGCAACAGGCCTCGAGGAGCAGCAATTAAACCCAGCTTGCCCAGCTTCAGGATTTTTAGTAGTGATCGTTAGTGGGATCGTAGATACCGACACCCGACAGGCGCCTCCACAGTACATCATATAGGCAGGCAGTCTTCAGCAGGAGAACGCACTGATACGATAACGCACATACACCTGCAGTACATTCTATTGCGACATTCGCCCACTGTAATTTGATGATCGGTGGTTGATCGGTCCCATCATACAAACCGCTGTATAAGCTTCTTTCTTACTGGATTAAAAGTTGAAAATGCGCGAGCTGACCAATGATCAGGACATACTCGTCATGTCCCTAATTAAGCTGCACCACCTCAATTTGCCTAGAGTTGGTGCAGTCGTAGCTACCTTGATATATGTTTTCGTTGTTGAGTAAAAAGGATACTGCCAGGTGTAGATGGAACGTACATTCTTGGGATGAGGTATGCGTACCATGGATATAGTGGACAAGATTGAACCAATGCAAGCCAATGCATTACAGCGTTGGTGGGGTTCATCGAATGTCCACGCGAACTACCTGAGGTAGGTAAGGTTGGGATATCTTCTGCCCTATCCGGATCATCCGTTGCACTGGAGTTGACACCGAGGTAGTACGTAGTAGCTTCTTTGGAGTTCCAGACTGGAGCAGACCTAGGTAAGGTAGAGAGCTCTTGAGAGTCAATCGTAGCGCTCCATGTTATCCGAGCTGTAGGTACATTGGAGCTTGACGTGGGGGGAGGGGAGCTCCGAGCCACGCTCTGTAATCATTCCAGTCCCAATTGACATCATCTCCTCTTTTTTCTACTCACTCCAAAAGAGCGCGAGATAACTTCGACCTTCCGTAACTCCTCTCACAAACAAAAGTGCTAGTGTGTAATACAATCAACGCCCGGCCATCCTGACGATACAACCAAGGCAAATATTCTCGTCTCTGACTTACTCAATCACCGCAATGCCGATTCGTTTGCCAACCTCAACTCTCCGGGCCGCCAGCCAGGCCGTCCGAGGTGCTCGTTCTACCAGCGCTGTCGGAGGCATCACCTTTGCTCGTGGCAAAGCCACTCTACCCGATCTATCCTGTAAGTCATATTGTCCATCCTAATTTGCACATCTCAAGTGCATTCCTCCACATCACAGGATGTGCAATCACTACACCATGCAATGACTGACCGCGCTCTATGCAGATGACTATGGCGCCCTTGAGCCCTACATCAGCGGCAAGATCATGGAGTTGCACCACAAGAACCACCACCAGACCTATGTCAACGGTCTCAATAGCGCGCTCGAGACCATTGAGGAGGCCAAGTCCAAGGGCAACGAGGCGGCTGCCGCTTCAGTCGCACCCCTGCTGAACTTTCACGGTGGCGGTCACATCAACCACACTCTCTTCTGGGAGAACCTAGCTCCTGCCAACCAGGGTGGCGGTGGTGAGCCTGAGGGTGCGTTGAAGAAGAGTATCGAAGAAGACTTTGGAGGCTTTGATACTCTGAGGAAGCAGGTCAATACGGCGCTGGCAGGAATTCAGGGAAGCGGTTGGGCCTGGTTGGTCAAGGACAAGAGTGCTGGCACTTTGCAGGTTGTCACCCGCGCCAACCAGGACCCCGTCACGGGCAACTACGTTCCCTTGCTCGGCATTGATGCCTGGGAGCACGCCTACTACCTCCAGTACCAGAACCGCAAGGCCGAATACTTTGACGCCATTTGGAATGTTATCAACTGGAAGACTGTCGCCAACAGATTGGAGAAGGCCTAGGATGAGGGCCTGGGCGTCGATGATACCCTTTCCAGTCCTTCGCTACTCAGCGATGCACTCACACTAGGCGTCATGAGTGCAATATTTAGTGAAGGCTAGCGTAACAACATATGTAGTACGCATGCACGATCGATACTGTATATAGTGTACAATTTATTCGACTTTTCAACTGCACATACATATTGCTGCTATGATGGGATATATGCACCTCAGTGATGAGCCAATTCAGCAAGTAATTCTCCAGGTAACCCACAACTGTGCCGGCTCAGAGCATTCGGAAGACGTGAAAGTATAACCACCTCATTTCAAATAGGTGCCAGTCGGAACTGGAGGCTGTCCCGTGGTTGCCGTACTAACCCCAGGCGAAGAAGATAGGCTGGCTTCATCTGATCTGCGCGGGGTAGAGGGTGTATCGGCAGTAGAGGACTCTTGTGCAGAGTAGTACTCTGCCGACATTTGCTCGGCAATATCATGGCAAACTGTCAACCCGTCAGTAAAGGTTCCTCGGGGGCGGAGAGGGTAGCTCTTACATCGATCAATGCTATTTGAACCAAGTATTTTCAATACCGCAACGTCACGGCCCAAATTCTTCCAGATCCAGTTGCGTATGTCCACAGCAACTAGAGAGTCGATTCCAATTTCAGAAAGGCTGCTTTGGCGGCTGATCGAACCTTCCGGCAGCTGAAGCATTACCTTGAGATGGCTGGTGAAAGCGTCAATAAGACAGTCTGTCAACGCTTCGACGTCCTCGAGCGAGGATAGCTGCTCCAGGAGACTATTCTGGATCCCCGTCTCTGTGGTCATGCTTGAGGCTCCTTCATCAAGAGTAAAGTGGTTGAATCGGGGATCTTGGTGCCAGTGCAAAGGATTCGGACTTCCCCATTTGAAACGCCTCAGACCAGTGGTAATGTCGAATGGCTCAGATGTACCCGGCCTCCCTGCCACGATGGCTTCCAAGAACATGTGGTGGATGTCTCTCTCTGAAATTGGCGGATATCCTTCTCGTTCCAGGCCAATATACAACTCTTCCTTCTCTCTCTGAAGTAAACCCAGTCCGTAAATGACACCAATGTTCAAGACGGACCCGGCTAATCCACGCTTGCGTCTATTGGCTGCGAGACCATTCATGTACATGTTGGCAGCAGCGTAGTTGCATTGCCCAGGATGCCCCCCGATTGCGGCAAAAGACGAGGTCATGATGAAGAATTCCAAGTCCAAGTCAGAAAAAACAGTGTCAAGGTTTCGAGACCCCACCGTTTTTGGACGCAGAACGCGATTCCATGTCTCGACTGTCATTTGTGAAAAGACACGGTCATCTAGGACCATGGCTCCGTTGATCACTCCCCCGACTTCAGGCATGGTCTCCTCAATTTTCCGTCCGAATCGGGACACATCCTCGAGGCTAGTCACGTCTAGCCTTTCAATGATGATCTGAGCTCCATAAGTCTGCCGCAATTCTTCCTTCCATGCTGGTGACATTCCCGGGTTTCTGCTAGCCAGGACAACATGCCTGGCTCCATTTTCTATGAAAAGCCGCGCAAGACTCTGCCCAAAATCACGAGTCAGACCCACAAGAACGTAGGTCTTGTTCTCGCTGAGAAGATTTTGCTCGACAAGTGCTTCGACAACCTCTTGTGTTGTCCTTTCTGCTGTCCAATCAATAATATTGATGGTTGAGTCAAGGCCCTTTTCTTCAATCACCTCATTGATTGAAAATGTCTTATTTAGACCTTCGTGGAAGTTTTCAGTATCTCCAAGAGTGAGCGTAACAGCATGGTTGAAAAGCTCCGTGTAAGAAGACAGGTCAACATCCCAGTTGACTCGTTGGCTCATCCAGTGTGAAGTCAAGACCGAAGATCCAAAATAATAATCACAGTTGTTGGGGAGCAGATTTACCAGCCTTTCGGAGAAGTCGTTACCAGATGAGAAATCATATATGTTGGCTCCTGAAGGGGGTATGAGGGCTTTCAACTTTCTCTCTGAGGACCTCTCATGGATCCTAATGCTGTCGTTGTTTTGTGAAATACGAGATGAACTTGTGCTCCAAACAATGAACTCCACCGCTTGGGACTGGGCGACCACCCTGGCACATCGAACGAGTAAAGGGTCGGCATCGATAAAGATGACGCACCCTGGGGTTGTTCGCATCTGATTTCGTAGAATGGCGATCGATACATAGTAACGCGCAAGACAGTGAAGAAACTGTGGCATGGAGAGGCTGATCCTTGGCAGTACCTGAGTAAGATCCACGGGTACCTCGATGTACGAAGCATTAGTGGTAGACAGGGTCAACCTCAATGCCCCTGTTGCTATGTCTTTTCCAATACAAAGATGAACAAAGTCGTCGTTGTCAGATTTCACTGCCTCCATCGTGCTGTATAGAACACGAAGAGCTACCAAATTCTTGGCACGGCTTCCTGTCGGGGCAGGTCCTAAATTTTGGATTGCGTAATTGACAATGCCCTCTTCCGCAAAGCGTGGCATGACTTGCACAACCTCGTTGATGGTATTGGCCGGCCGTGATACGACTCGTCGAATAGCATTTACGCGGTCGTTGGACTCTTTCAGAGGGAGAACTCGAGCTACAAGGCGATGACCCTGGTCCATGTAGATCTCCGGTTCTTGTATCCAAAGACATTGACCAGGATCAGGCACTGGTGCGGTGAGGTCAACAAAGACCTTGGCGATGACATCTTCACAGTCCACCATGTCGCCCAAGTCCAATACTTGTAGTCTAAGATTTGGTACCTCTGCAGAGACGGTTCGGGTGAAACCAAGCGTCGAAGCATGTTCCGGATTGCCGAACCTCGTGTTTCTGGTCAGCCAAAGAATCGTCATATTAGGACGAAGCAATTCTTTTAAGACCGATAACTTCCGCTCCGTCATACTCGACATGACTGCAAAATCCAAATCCTCAAGAACGATGGTCGAGGTATAATCATGAAGGCGACTTGTGTCAACGCTTTCAATTGACTCGATGAGTTCGACAGAACTACAATCTCGAATGAGATTGTGCTGTAGGGTGTGGCCGATTGTGGGGGTTCTGTCGCGCCCGATACCAATGATCAGGACTTTCTCTCTTTGAGGTGAGGCTTCAAGAGGAGGCGATGTCTTCCGTGAAGTCACAAGCGTTGCGGATGCTTGGTAAACATGGATAGAGAATCCTGGAGCGATTGTCTGGTCTGAGTTTCTGGCAACACTCGAGAACCCGCACTCCTCCAGTAGGATTCTGTTTTCCTGAGGTTGGAACTCGGGCCGCATGATAGTGGATGGCTGCACGGCGTGGTGAAGATTTCTCCGCAATGGGCTTTCATCAAATCGAACAAGCAAGAGGAACGCGCCATCACGCATAGATGCCCTGACATTCGTCAAGGAATCTTGTAGACTGCCATGAGCTAGAATAGACAAATCAACAACGACAAGATCCAGAAGAGTCGCCGACTTTAGCTGTTTCAATACATCCACAGTCACATCAAGCCATTGTGCTTGTCCCGTTGTGCCAGGATCCTGCTCTGATACTTCGCGAGCTTTGTGCGTTTCCTGACTGGCAACCGCTGTCGTGAAAGATAGATATGACGATCCAAGGCCGTGGAGTATTGAGTCTGATAGATCAATCCCAGTTCCCGCAATGCTTAATACGTTCATACGTGGATATTTATGTGAGATCTGTTTCACAACTCTTTCAAGATGATGAGCATGGCGTAGTTGAAGAGCTGCTTCTTGAACGACCACGGGTATAGCGCTCGGCAGCAAAGCTGGAACCGACCTTCCAATCTCGTGTAGGAATCGCAGAGACTCGTCACAAGGGTCGAGGAACACTTTACTGTGAGTGACGGTATGAATGCCCCGACTTTGTGAGTGTATCGACTCATTATCCCTCTTGCCGAATGGATTGGTGTTAATACCGCTTGCTGGCGCAAATACTGCTCGACTTCCGTCCGTTGAGTATAAAGACGATATTTTTTCACAGAGTTCTGTCATCTCTGAAATGTATTGACCCGTGTTTTGAACAAGTGAAACGATCTCATCCGTCGGGTCAATGTCCATGACCGTGTGAAGATAGAGCTCATAATCATCTTCGGGACGTGTATTGGCGAACGCGGCAACGGTGAGTCCTTCAATCTCAATTTCCATTTCATCATTCTCATTGTAAATACCAATTTCCACTGTAAATGTGGCCTTGGAATCGGATGTGCTTCCACGGACTTCGGTCAAGTGGCTGTCCACGGTGAGAAGGTCCGAGTCTTCTTTCTTGGAATTCTTGCCAAGCTGAGCAACATTAAATTGGATTCTGGCGATGCGAGTCGGCAAGAAAGACGTCCAAAGAGATTTATCGCCAGGAGACGAGTAGGTCAGAAATGCTGATTGGAGGCAGCTGTCCAGCGTAGCAGGGCTCAATGTGAGCTCTGTTGTGTCTTCAGGGTGACGCCTCAGCAAGGTCGTAGAAGCAAAATCACATCGGCGTTTGATCGATTGTAATGCTCTGAATGGGCCGCTATATACCAATCCGGTATTATCCATCATCCTGTAGAACGCATCTGTACTAGCTGGAAGCGTTTCTGACAATGACGCTTGCCTGAATGGGAGAGCGTCAGTTGCCATATCGTCCAGTATGATCAGAATGTTTCCAGATGCATTCTTCCTCATGGCAGCACTGCCGTCTGCTGAACATGAGGCCAACGTGAATGAAGCTGTTATCGTTCCTCTGTCGCCCCTTTCTTTGTGTTGCTCGTTTACTCTTAGTGAAAACAATAGCTCAGTCCCTGCGGAGTCTGATTCCATGCTGATACCGCTCATGATGTCGATATCTCTGAGTTCAATGACCGAAGCACTTCTTCCATTCAGTAGCTGGAGTGCAGAGTCTAGAGCCATGACACAATATGCCGATGCGGGAACTAGAGCCTGGCCTTGAAAGCAGTGTCCCTGGAGCCACGGTAACTTGCCTGGCCGCAGGATATTGCGCCACCGAAGTTCAAACGCGTTATCGTCGCGAGTCCGTACCCCGAGAAGCTCATGAGGGGCAGAATGCTTGAAGTGGTACTGTCGCGATATCCTAGACTCCCTGTAGTGGGTCTGTGAATGATCCCACAGATAGGAAGGCAGATTTCTCAACCTGTCGCTCATCAGAGAGTGCGCGAATGACTGGTGGACATATTGTGAAACATTAGCAGATAGGGGCCCAAATTGGCACCACATGGCACCCAAGAACTCGGAGAATGCAAGCCCATCATCTTTTGATCTCTCCAATAAGCCATAATAAGGCACTGGAGCGCCAAGGATTTCTTTGGCCGTCTGAGTTACTGGTCCTTTGAGTGCTGGATGTGGCCCAACCTCAACAGCACAGTCAAATGGTCCCAAATCAGTGATTGCTGTCGTGACTGCGCTGCAAAATTGTACTGATTCGACCATGTTGTCTCGCCAATAAACCGAGGTCAAATCTTTATCGCTTACTTGACTGTACCCATGCACGCTGGAAATCCACGATACATTGGAGGCTGCTGGAAGAGGTGAGATGTCGCATTTTGCGAGCGCATCGATGTAGGCTTGTGCTGGTTGCGTCATGTGAGGCGAGTGGTAGGCCGTATCTACCTGCAAGACTCTGGCAAATCTTGATTGTTCGGTCAACATGTTCTTGGCGTTTTGAATCATGTGTACGTCTCCCGACAGCGTAACACTCAAGGGTGCATTGCTGGCCGCCACACAAATCTTTCCCTCAAACGATGGATCGCGACAAAATTCCAGTGCTTCACTCTCGGACATTCCGACTGCCATCATAGCTCCCCGTTCCCCATTGGTGCCTCGGGCGAGATGAGCATACAGTCCCCGGTAGTATGAAATCAATATCGCATCCCTTGCAGAAAGCATATTCGCTGCGTAGGCTGCGGCAATTTCACCAGATGAGTGTCCAACAACAGCTTGGAATTGCACTCCAAGGTCTTTCAGGATATTCATCAACCCTATCTGTACTGCTGTACACAAAGGTTGTGATATTTGGGCCTCATGGGTTCGAGATTGGGGCTCATCAGCCATGATTTGGTGCTCCAATGTCCATGAGGGCGGATTTGGGCACTGTTGTAGAACGTGATCTAAGTCTTGGATTGTCTCTCGATACATTCGATTCGTCTGTAGAAGTGTACGAGACATAGAAGACCACTGGGCGCCCTGGCCAGTGAATACACCCAGGATGCGCGGTGTATGTGTCAAGTTTTTGGAACGAATTCCAAACTCTTGTATACCGTGTTCTCTGCTTAATGCCGCGTCTAACAGTTCCAGGGCTTGTTCTCTGGAAGCGACGGAAACCGAAAGCCTGTATGGAAGCGCTGTGCGGTAGCGAAAGAGGTTCAAGCAAAGTTGAGGAAGCGAGACATCCTGGCATTCTGCGAGGTAGTTTCTCCAGGTGCGTGTAACTTCGAGAAGCGATTTTCTCGAGGATGCTGATAGTAGCAGCGGAAGATGAGATAAGGCAGAAGAATCCAACTGCTCACTTAGACTGGGGTCTTGCAAAGTAATCTCTTGTAACGGCGAGCCAACATCGGCAGCTCCGTGGATTTGTGGATCGTATGATTCAATGATAGCATGAGAATTCGTGCCGCCAAATCCAAAAGAATTGACACTGGCCCGGCGAGGGTGGCCTTCGAGTGTTCTTGGCCAGGCGACTAGGGACGTAGGTATCTCCAAGTGCTTGTAAAATGGACGTACTGCAGGGTTGAGGGTGTCTAGGTGCAGATTTGGAGGTACTTGACCATGCTTTATGGCTTGTAGAACCTTCAACACACCGGCCAAGCCTGCGGCACCCTCGGTATGCCCTATAACTGTTTTTACGGATCCTACCAGCATTTTTTTATCTGATTTGGCATCAGGTTTTGACCCGAAAAAGGCATCGTGGATTGCCTGGGCCTCCCGAGGGTCACCCGCTTGTGTGCCAGTCCCATGTGCCTCGAAGTACTGGCATTGGTCCTCTGGACATTGAGGATCGAGACCCGATGCAAGATATGTACTTCTGATCAGGGATTCTTGAGCACCCGGATTGGGCATCGTGATACCCGGAGTTCGACCGTCGGAGTTAACTCCAGTCTGTCGAATCAGTCCCAGGATCTCGTCGCCATCTTGCAAAGCACGCGAGAGTGGCTTGATCAAAATAGCCGCTACGCCCTCACCCCGGGCATATCCGTCAGCAGTCTGATCCCACATTCTACTCTTGCCAGTGGGGCTCAACATGTGCAAGCTCGACTCGACGAGAAATTGCTCGGGTGTAATCATCAGATTAACCCCCGTGACACATGCCATTGGTACTTCACCCGAGCGAAGGCTCAGCACAGCTTGATGCAGTGCAACGAGTGATGAGCTGCAGGCAGTGTCGATTGTCATGGAAGGGCCCCGGAAATTGAAGAAGTAGGATATGCGATTTGAGATGATGGAACGAGCATTCCCTGTCGCATAGTACTGACTGGCTGATAGCTCATCTCTTTGGGATAAAGTATCATAGTCAGCCGTCATGACGCCAGCAAAGACTCCTACATTCTCTCCCGAGTATTGGTGCAGTGTGATGCCTGAAGACTCCATGGCTTCATATACAACTTCAAGTAGAATTCGCTGCTGGGGATCGATTGCTTCCGCCTCCTTTGGTGTGATATTGAAGAAGCCAGCGTCAAAAACTCGATGGTCTTGCTCCAGCCAGTATGCTTTGATTGAATTTGTTGTGCCGAGGTGCTCTCCATCTTCATGATAGAATGCTCGCGCATTAAATCTAGCTGCTGGGACTTCTTTTGAAAGGTCGGGGGGGTTGGATAGGACTTGCCACAGTCTGGATGGCGAAGTCGCATTTCCAGCAAATCGACAGCTGCTTCCAATAATGGCAATGGGCTCTGAGGATGGTCTTTTATACATTATGGCTACACGATGTAAAGCACCAAGTCATACAAGTGGGAGTAGGAGTTCGGGAATGGCTAAAGATCTGGTATAATGATGTCGAAAGGCTTGCATGAGACCTGCATTGAACGACATCCATGTTGTACGACAGAAATGAGTATATACTTATATGCCAGCAACATCTTTCACGTCCAATCGGCCATACCTATGACATTACGACATACCTAACGGCCTGTCCTATCCCGGCCTTCTTGAGACACTTCTGATTTGTTGACGATCGCCGAACCTGAGCCTCGTGTTGTTCTTGGCCCCTTTAGACCATTATAAGTCAGCTCTGATTCGTCGTTTCAATGCCGATACACATTGTTGCGCACCTGGGTATGTCCGAATCTCAGGCAGCTCCGATCCGGCCACATGATAGCCATCCATTTGAACCTGGCGCAAGTTTTTCCATATCCTCATGGACAGTTCGAGGCTATTGCATTCTACGCGAGTAAGAATTGATTTTCCAAAGACGGTCGACTGGTGGAGTCAAAACGCACGCTATTCGCCTAACCCTGCCCAAAGCTGAGTCTTTTTGCGCTTGATCGTCGTCATGTTTATGAATTACAGAAAATTACAAATATTGCTATTGTCTAAAGTATTGATTGGAAGTCCCTGGCTCATCCATGCTAGCTGATGCAGCTTCTTAGACAGGTTCCAGGGACATAGATTTGTCTCGCGACTCATGCACATGCCTTCTCGGTAACCCAGATACAGCTGCCGAACGAACCATAGACTATTTGAGTATGATTACACAGTAGAACTCATAGATCATAATATATGTAAGAGTTTCCCTTTAGGTATTAGGATGTCCGTTTTCCGTCGCTTGCCATGCAGTTGCTACAAAAAGCTTTGTCTCGAACATATCGCAAAGTCTACATACAAATACATACCCCTTCCAGTATTTGATCTTAAGTAATAGATTGAGTTCCATCGCATCTCTGTCTATATAGCACAAGCCTGCTACGTGTGGTTCTAAAAACTGCCACATTTGCTTTCAGCAACCAAATACTGGCAGAGGATTCTTTATTAGGACAGGATCAACAATTTGAAATGCTCTTATAATCCTTCTTCGTTGCAAAGAAAGCCCATTGAACTCCAGGGGGTGCATCGTATATAGTCGTCATCATGAGAAAACTCGTCGCGATGATTCTGAATCAATGGCTGCAGTGGAAATGCTTCCTCGAATGAAATATCCGGCCATCCAGTACGGCCTGGCATGGGTATTGAATGAGACGAACTAGTAGAACCATTGAAGTCAAGACTCTGTAGAATCAGCTGGCTCCCATCTTGAACTTGAGAGGGAGCTAGTGAGTTCAACCCGAGATCTGTCTCCGGGTTTCCATGTTCGGGATGATTGCCATAGGCGTCCTCGAGCATTCGTGGGCTCTCGGAGCTGCCACAAGACCAATAGGAGAGATCTCCAAAATTAGCTGATGGGATCCATGGCTGTGTGTTCGAGTGCCCAAAGGCCCCAGTGGCTGCTCAAGTTCAGTTACTGTTGCACAAACGGGAGTGGCTAAAACTTACACTCAGGACAGGGAATGCTTTTCATCGGACGCAATTCTTTATAAGCCTTTCCGATCGGGTCATCCATGAGTCTTCTGCAAGTCTTGGTTCGCCTCCTGCGATTTCGTTGCGAGGGACTAGATTGACACAAGAATCCGGATTTGGAGCATCTTTCGCAGACAGTACCACCTCCTTCTCGCCTACAACCCAACTTCAAGTGGTGACATCTATCACAAGCCTTTCGAAGAACTGCTCCGGCCATGGTATCTTGAGCGATACCAGAGTCTGGCTTGTGTGTAAAATGCAGAGTAATAAGGAAGTGAGTAAAGTGGGTGCGCTTACATGCATAACCTTCGGTGAGCAGCCTGTGTATGATATGACCCTCCGCGCCTCCGGGGGCAATCCGGTTATATTGAAAACGCATGCTCGCAGCAAGTATTTGATTCGTTGCCCTGCCAAGAAAACACATGTTGTCCCAGTGCGGTATACGGTCCGATCAATGGACTTTGCTGAGGTATAGGCCACGACTAGTGAATTAGAGTATGGGATCCACAGTGGCTGGCAGCAGCGACTACAGACCAGACGGTTGGGTCACGATCCCGTGGGTTGATTTAGGTACTGATCCGGGGCAGTGGTAGAGACCGTGTAGGACATGGTACTCCATCTAGGTTGATCCCTCCGCTGGGCTGGACTTACAGCGGCCAAGCCAGCCCAGGATGAACAGTGTCGAGACCACCGCTTAGAAGCTTTTGGCCTCATCCAAATCATACCAGTGATATTAGAGTCGAACCTCGACTCATGAAGTGAGTCAAACGGTTCATCGAGGCTTCTGTCCGTTGCTTCATTTACGTCTACGCTCGTCATCAAGGTTCCCTGGCCGAGAGTAGAGGCGTGAAGCATCGCCGACCTTGCTGACAGTGCAGAAACAGTTTCTGATGAGTCGACTTTCTTCTCACTCATCTGACGTTCGAGGTCGTAGGCTCATCATTAGTTCATGTCGTTGTGTTATCAATTCGGCGACTACTCAAAGTACCTCCTGAGCACGCAAAAGAAGGCGGAAGACACCCTCAGGTTGTACACGATATCTCAGCTCACAACCGGGGGCAACCTAGGCAATGAGTTACACGACAGGTGCTGCGGAGGGAGACGTACATCAGGGGAATATTTGGTTGCGTCGATGTGAAAAGCCCCGGCCTGAAGGCAAGCCCCCCATCTTGACCCATTTCGAGATGACAATACCCGGATGAAGACAACAGCAATGGACGTCATGGTCTCCACCAGATCCCAACCACATTATTCGATAAAAGCCAATGTCACGCTGCTCCATTGACCAAAATAGATTCATATGCCCATGTCCGAAGGTCATATGTGATTTCAGCTCGAGTCCTTTGTTGTGCGCAATGTAGCATAGACCAGGCTGTGCCCTCCAAAACTCGGTGCTAACAGCCTGTCTCGAGTATCGAGGTGGCGCTTCTGTCACTCTGCTCGATAGCTTCCGGGCAACATGGAATCAGCCTCGTATGCAGGCCTTTCTGAAGAGATCCTAGATGTCGATCATGAACCCTTGCCTGGGCAAGGATCGTAGAGGTGGCTCGGGTCACACCGTGACAAGGCCGTGGTTGCGGCGCACGGCAAGGGCGATAAGACGGGAGAAGAGAAACAGGTAGCGCGTAGCAGCGGACGGCGGGACCTGGCCCGCCATAACCCTGCCTACGGTGCCTTGCCTACACCTACCTAGATATGGTCGGTAGTCTCTCCTTCGGCGCGTAAAATGAGACTTCGTTTCCAAATCAAGACAGCAAAGCATGATTTGCAAATGCCGACTATATCGATTTAGTACTGGCATTATATCCTAGCAATATTGTGCCTGATACGTGCATCTCGGATGAGCAGTGAAATCCGTTGTGGCGCCCTAGTTCGCAGGGCATACTGTAACCAGCAGTGAGCACTGAGCATCACCAACGACCTCTGATCATCCAATTGGACCACTGCACCATTGTTGGCTTTTTGAGTGCTTTGAGCTATAACGGCGAAGGCGTTTTCTTTGAATTGCTTGCTCAGAGAAATTCCATTCTATTGACCTTATTTCTTTACCCTCTATTATCTCCCCCCCCCCCCCCCCCCCCTGCTTCTTCTGCTTCTTGCTCCCTTTCTCGCCTAGTTACTTATGGCCGATCTGGCGGAAAGTGTGCAGACGGACTACTGTAGCGCGTGGCCTGTCCGTGTAATAGGTAATCGTGGATAAGCTGCAAACCCAGGCGTGCAGGCACATCCACCAACTTCGTAAGTCAACATGGATCTTGCAGGAACTTGAAATAATATCCAGCTAACGAATCAATAGTGAGGTACTAACAGACGGTTTCGACCTCTTGGGATTCATCTCGTACCGTCGTATGAAGGCGCATGGCAGTCGCAGAAATAACAGACCCATGTTCCAGCTGATGCAAGCCGCCACGTGCGTGCTCAGGTTTCCTGCAACAACCGATATGGTCCGTTATGCCGCAGTGACAAGGATTATGCCGATCGCTGAACGATATACAACTTACTCAGCCCAATGGATGGGTATTGCAGCTTATAGATAGTCAATCTCGCCCTGACATGGCTATCTCTTTCAGCACGAGTCAGTGGCGGCGGGGATGGAAAGCCCTGTCAACGAACGCTTTGGGGGCGACACGATAGAGTTTGGTTGGCCCACCTTAGCTACGGGCGTAGAATAATATCTGTAAGAAGAAGAAAAGATGACCGGAGGACACCGCCTGCTAGGTTCTACGCTCTTTGCCCAGGGACTTCTTATTGTCCGCATGCTACTATTGAATTGGAGCTGATGAAGAGCAGTCTTATAAGATGAATGACGTATTCCCGAAGAAGTCCAGCGCAGAGGCAGCCAAAATTGATTGAGGCAATCGTTGGCAGTGTCCTCGAATTCCGATTTGGCCAGTCGCAGCACGCCACTCATCCACTGGTCGTCTGCGTCATCTTGGTGCACCCTGAAGGAATTCCCGTAGATCTGGTGTCACACGGCTTTTAATTTATATAGACCAGGCAGTACAGTCTGAGACGACATTCTACTTGCAGGCCTCACTTGAGGACTGAGCCAGCGGAATGGTAAACCCCAGTGAAACATCGGTCTTAAACACGCGAAAAGTATAAAAATGCAGCGTCGCTTCTCAAGCGATAATGTAAATATCCAGATACCTCACAGACGGGTATGCAGGCCCTCTTCTTGGAACCGGCCATGACATGAGGTGACACAAGCCCCTTATTTGGGGTCCAATCAAATGTGAATTGATACATCTCGAACAAGGGGTACGAATAGACTAGAACCGAATATCGTAACAGGCAATTCCTAGCCATGAAGAAGTGTAGAGTCTTGGTAGTAAAGGCGCAATTGCACAAGGCCTTCGTAAACTTCAGGCAAACAAACTTCTGGTGGCAATTCACCCCAGCATGTTCGATGAGGTGATATAATGAATAACGGAGGAGAGTGGTTCTATGTCTACAACTAAAAGTGGTTATAAACTAAGAATAGTGATTACAAGTTTTGCACGCTCTTTTATCGCTTCCTCGTACATAGCAGCTTGCCTGAGGGGTTGATGGATTAGAATATAATCACTTGCCGTCGCCAACACTGAACACTTCCATGTGTATCCGTGAAGCATCGACCTCATTCAGAGCAAGGTATTTCTGCATACTGTTCATGAAATCCGTAGGTCCACATATATAATACTCGGCATCATTGGTGTCTAGGAAAAGACGGCTTCGATCAATCCTGCCAAGATCCACATGCCCTTCAAAATAATGGTTGGGATGCTCAGAGAGACTTGGAGCAGAGATCGTCCTGAAAATCGACGCTTGCACATTGTGGTGGTTGGTGCAGATCTCTTGAACATAGTCTCCAAATGGTTGCAATTCAGTGCTGTGGGCACCTTGAATCCAGGCAATGGGTCTTCTCGAGCCGGCAGAGACGGCACTATTGAGAATGGACATCATTGGGGTAACACCCACGCCGGCTGAGATTAAAACAATTGGCGTTGTCTCAGACGGCCCTATGCTGACGAAGAAGTCCCCGGTAGGGTGCGTGAGCTCTACAATGTCTCCTTCCTTGTACTTGTTATGAAGTGCATTGGAGATCCATCCTGGTAGGGTTGGCGCTTTTCCGGATTCCTTCTTGACACTGATGCGGTAGCAGCCGCTTTGGTGTGCGTCAGAAAGTGAATATTGCCGAGGTTGCATATATCCAAACTCTGGGACAAACAAGCGGAGGCTGATGTATTGGCCAGGCTGGAAAGAGGGTAGAGCTTTGCCATCCTTGGGGACTAGGTAGAAACTGGTGATTTGTGGCGTCTCTGGCACCTTCTTCTGGATCTTAAAGGGTCGCCAACCTTTCCAATCATCATGTCCGGCATAAATGTCCTTCTCGCGATGAATGAAAACGTCCGCCAACGCCCCATATGCTGCTGTCCAAGCATCCGCCACCTCTGCAGTGACAGCGTCACCTAGAACAGTCGCCACTGCCTCAATCAGATATTTTCCGACAATTTCATACTGCTCGGGCTGCACCATTAGGCTGACATGCTTGTGAGCGATGCGTTCCACGAGAGCTCGCAGACGGCCGAGGTCATCGACATGGCTGGCGTATGAGAACACTGCACCGGCCAATGCTCGAGGCTGAGCACCTGTGGTTTGGCCAGTTTGGTTGAAGATGTTGTGGAGTTCCGGGTGCGCTCCAATCATATTCTTGTAGAAAAGAGTGGTGATCTCCTCGCCCTTCTCCTTGAGAACTGGTGCCGTTGACTTTACAATGGCCAACTGTGACGGAGTCAATGGCGCTGAGACGGGCGTTGGTGGGGCGGCCCGTTCAACGGGCGACGTGGTCGTGGCTAATGGCTTTGATGCTTCAAACATTGTAGCAAATGGTCGATGATATGGTGCAAAATAAAACGCAGACAGTCTAATGAGTAGCGAAACAATTGTTTGACTCTATATCTACCGCGGTCAGAGCATATTTGATCCCACGGAGACCCATAGCGCCTGTTATATACGTGCTCATTTCTCCGTGCTTAGTTTATAGCCATGAGTGATGACCGGAGAAAGCACTGCTGAAAATTGCATAAGCATTGCAAAATTAGATGCATTTCCATAACGCATAGGCCTCGTGACTGCCATTGCAGTGCCATGCTGACAGAAAAGTTTGCTTTCTTTTATGGTTCGATGCTTTCCAGGAGGCAATCGACCCATCAGCACCCTGGTTATTTTCGTGTAGTTGCCATCTCCGCGGAAAAGTCGGGGTGAGTACGGTCGGCGACAAATGCCAAGCTGTTGTGAATAAACGGCCTCATCAGTCCGGTGGCGGAAGCTCCGGGTTGATTAGAAATGTCTATGCTCTTATGGGTGGTGAAGTCTGCGCAAATTTGAATCCGTACCTTTTGTTTCTGTTGGTCAAGGGACTCGAATGAAGGTCTCACATGTCCGCGGTCCAAATAGGATAGGGAAATACTGTAGAGAACCAATCAGTAAGTTATGACCAAAACTACAGATTACTTACTCATTTTCGCTTTATCTGCTCCTTATCTTAGCCTTTGGACACGGGCATCCAAGGTACGCGTAGCGCATAATGCAGCCCTAAAATCGAGTAACTTGTAGTAGTAAAGAAAAGGCTCTCATCTTTCCTAGATGTCCACGGCAACATCCAGATCAGCACAGAGCTTGTGCAAAGATTAGTAGGGTGAGCACTAATAGCTGGTTCATATTTAGAAGCACGTGTCCACATATGCCGGCTCAATCTTTTCAGAGGCCTTGATTAAGATTTTTATGCGCAAGTATAATTCTTAGCTTCAATGACTTGCAACATGTTGCGGCTGTTGGACGACGTATTGTGCTATTTAAAATTGCAGAATATCGTCTACAACGCTTTGTTTCTATTTATAGAGCCATTTACCATTTAATCATATCAGTATGTGGTTTCCAGGCCACCTGAAAGAACCTCCGTTGATTACTGTCGACAATTCTTCTTGGTTCTCTCCCAAACCTCCTTGTAGTAGTTTGGAGTTCTACAAGTAGTTCAGGTGAACATTTAAGCATGTCTTGGACATTCATGTGTTTGCACAAGTAAAGTTTCTGGGCTACAAAGCAAGCACTGGTATCCATCTCCAGAGGCGCAACTTCGTGGGTAGAAAGAGAAGGAAAAGAGGAGGGGGCGTTGG